CAACTACACATAGACACAACTACACACAGACACAACTACACACAGACACAACTACACACAGACACAACTACACACAGACACAACTACACACAGACACAACTACACACAGACACAACTACACACAGACACAACTACACACAGACACAACTACACACAGACACAACTACACACAGACACAACTACACACAGACACAACTACACACAGACACAACTACACACAGACACAACTACACACAGACACAACTACACAGACACAACTACACACAGACACAACTACACACAGACACAGGCACAACTACACACAGACTACAACTACACACAGACACAGACACAACTACACACAGACACAACTACACACAGACACAACTACACACAGACACAACTACACACAGACACAACTACACACAGGCACAACTACACACAGGCACAACTACACACAGACATAGACACAACTACACACAGACACAACTACACACAGACACAACTACACACAGACACAGACACAACTACACACAGACACAGACACAACTACACACAGACACAGACACAACTACACACAGACATAGACACAACTACACACAGACACAACTACACACAGACACAACTACACACAGACACAACTACACACAGACACAACTACACACAGACACAACTACACACAGACACAACTACACACAGACACAACTACACACAGACACAACTACACACAGACACAACTACACACAGACACAACTACACACAGACACAACTACACACAGACACAACTACACACAGACACAACTACACACAGACACAACTACACACAGACACAACTACACACAGACACAACTACACACAGACACAACTACGCACAGACACACACAGACACAACTACACACAGACACAACTACACACAGACACAACTACACACAGACACAACTACACACAGACACAACTACACACAGACACAACTACACACAGACACAACTACACACAGACACAACTACACACAGACACAACTACACACAGACACAACTACGCACAGACACAACTACGCACAGACACAACTAAACACAGACACAACTAAACACAGACACAACTACACACAGACACAACTAAACACAGACACAACTAAACACAGACACAACTACACACAGACACAACTACACACAGACACAACTACACACAGACACAACTACACACAGACACAACTACACACAGACACAACTACACACAGACACAACTACACACAGACACAACTACACACAGACACAACTACACACAGACACAACTACACACAGACACAACTACACACAGACACAACTACACACAGACACAACTACACACAGACACAACTACACACAGACACAACTACACACAGACACAACTACACACAGACACAACTACACACAGACACAACTACACACAGACACAACTACACACAGACACAACTACACACAGACACAACTACACACAGACACAACTACACACAGACACAACTACACACAGACACAACTACACACAGACACAACTACACACAGACACAACTACACACAGACACAACTACACACAGACACAACTACACACAGACACAACTACACACAGACACAGCTACACACAGACACAACTACACACAGACACAGCTACACACAGACACAGCTACACACAGACACAACTACACACAGACACAACTACACATAGACACAACTACACATAGACACAGACACAACTACACACAGACACAGACACAACTACACACAGACACAACTACACACAGACACAACTACACACAGACACAGACACAACTACAGACACAGACACAACTACAGACACAGACACAACTACACACAGACACAACTACACACAGACACAACTACACACAGACACAACTACACACAGACACAACTACACACAGACACAACTACACACAGACACAACTACACACAGACACAACTACACACAGACACAACTACACACAGACACAACTACACACAGACACAACTACACACAGACACAACTACACACAGACACAGCTACACACAGACACAACTACACACAGACACAGCTACACACAGACACAGCTACACACAGACACAGCTACACATAGACACAACTACACACAGACACAACTACACACAGACATAGACACAACTACACACAGACACAGACACAACTACACACAGACACAGACACAACTACACACAGACACAACTACACACAGACACAACTACACACAGACACAACTACACACAGACACAACTACACACAGACACAACTACACACAGACACAACTACACACAGACACAACTACACACAGACACAGCTACACACAGACACAACTACACACAGACACAGCTACACACAGACACAGCTACACACAGACACAGCTACACACAGACACAGCTACACACAGACACAGCTACACACAGACACAGCTACACACAGACACAGCTACACACAGACACAGCTACACACAGACACAGACACAACTACACACAGACACAGACACAACTACACACAGACACAGACACAACTACACACAGACACAGACACAACTACACACAGACACAACTACACACAGACACAACTACGCACAGACACAACTACACACACACAGCTATGCACAGACACAACTATGCACAGACACACACACACACACACACACACAACTACGCACACACACAGACACAACTATGCACAGACACACACACAGACACAACTATGCACAGACACACACACAGACACAACTACGCACAGACACAGACACAACTACGCACAGACACACACACACACACAGACACAACTATGCACAGACACACACACAGACACAACTACGCACACACACACAGACACAACTACACACAGACACAACTACACACAGACACGGACACAACTACACACACACACAGACACAACTACACACACACAGACACAACTACACACACACAGACACAGCTACACACAGACACAGCTACGCACAGACACAGCTACACACAGACACAGCTACGCACAGACGCAACTACGCACACACACACAGACACAACTACGCACACACACAGACACAGACACAACTACGCACACACACAGACACAGACACAACTATGCACAGACACACACACAGACACAACTACGCACACACACAGACACAACCACGCACAGACACACACACAGACACAACTAGCGGCACGGTGGCTGAGTGGTTAGCACTCTCGCCTCTCAGCAAGAAGGTCCTTGGTTCGAATCCCGGCCGGACAAGGGCCTTTCTGAGTGGAGTTTGCATGTTCTCCCCGTGTCTGCGTAGGTTTCCTCCGGGTACTCCGGTTTCCCCTACCACTAAAAATATGTCCAATAGTTCTGGCATGCGCCTCCTGTACTGGCCCCGCTCCCATCTCTGTGAGGAGTGAGAGACAAATGCCCAAAATTAACAATTGTAAACCGCTTTGAGACTCAGATCTGCAGTGAAAAGGCGGTATATAAATAAATACTTACTTACTTACTTACAACTACGCACAGACACACACACAGACACAACTACGCACAGACACACACACAGACACAACTACGCACAGACACACACACAGACACAACTACGCACAGACACACACACAGACACAACTACGCACAGACACACACACAGACACAACTACGCACAGACACACACACAGACACAACTACGCACAGACACACACACAGACACAACTACGCACAGACACACACACAGACACAACTACGCACACACACACAGACACAACTACGCACACACACACAGACACAACTACGCACAGACACAGACACAGACACAGACACAGACACACACAGACACAGACACAACTACGCACAGACACAACTACGCACACACACAGACACAGACAGACACAACTATGCACAGACACAGACAGACACAACTACACACAGACACACACAGACACAACTACGCACAGACACAGACACAACTACACGCACAGACACAACTACAGACACAACTACACGCACAGACACAACTACACGCACAGACACAACTACACGCACAGACACAACTACACACACAGACACAGACAGACACAGACACAACTACACACACAGACAGACACAACTATGCACAGACACAACTACACACAGAGACACACACACACAGACACAACAACGCACAGACACCTGTGCTGACTTCACTGATGTTAAAATGGTTTAGCCCCTGACTGAACTATTGTCTCTCTCTGGTCTCTCTCTGGTCTCTCTCTCTGGTCTCTCTCTGGTCTCTCTCTCTGGTCTCTCTCTGGTCTCTCTCTGGTCTCTCTCTGGTCTCTCTCTGGTCTCTCCCTGGTCTCTCTCTGGTCTCTTTTTGGTCTCTCTCTCTGGTCTCTCTCTCTCTGGTCTCTTTCTGGTCTCTCTCTGTGGTCTCTCTCTCTGGTCTCTCTCTCTGGTCTCTCTCTGGTCTCTCTCTGGTCTCTCTCTCTCTGGTCTCTCTCTCTCTGGTCTCTCTCTGGTTTCTCTCTGGTCTCTCTCTCTGGTCTCTCTCTGGTCTCTCTCTGGTCTCTCTCTGGTCTCTCTCTCTGTCTGGTCACTCTCTGGTCTCTCTCTGGTCTCTCTCTGGTCTCTTTCTGGTCTCTCTCTGGTCTCTCTCTGGTCTCTCTCTGGTCTCTTTCTGGTCTCTCTCTCTGGTCTCTTTCTGGTCTCTCTCTGGTCTCTCTCTGGTCTCTCTCTGGTCTCTCTCTGGTCTCTTTCTGGTCTCTCTCTGGTCTCTCTCTGGTCTCTCTCTGGTCTCTTTCTGGTCTCTCTCTGGTCTCTTTCTGGTCTCTCTCTGGTCTCTTTCTGGTCTCTCTCTGGTCTCTCTCTCTGGTCTCTCTCTGGTCTCTCTCTCTGGTCTCTCTCTGGTCTCTCTCTCTGGTCTCTTTCTGGTCTCTCTTTCTGGTCTCTCTCTGGTCTCTCTCTGGTCTCTTTCTGGTCTCTCTCTGGTCTCTTTCTGGTCTCTCTCTCAGGGGCAGTTGGAGTTGCTGAGGAACAGCTCTGGTCTGTTGTACCGAATGAAGGATTCACAAAGCTCCAGGTGAGAACACACACACAGACTCAGACACACACAGACTCAGACACACACAGACTCAGACACACACAGACGCACACACACACACACAGACGCACACACACACACACAGACTCAGACACACACACACACTCTGACCTGTCTGTTGCGTGTGTGCAGTAAGATGAAAGGCTCCGATAACCAGGAGAAACTGGTTTATCAGATCATCGAGGACGCAGGAAACAAAGGTGAGCCTACCCCCCACCCCTCTGCCTCACAGCGCTCATTTCAAACTCCTTCCATTGTGAAGACTCTAGACAACACTTTAGGTACCACCGGTCTCCATGGTACATGTTCACGCGACCTACTCAGCGTCAGCGATCATTCTCTTACGGGGCTTTCAGACGCCAACGCTGAAACGCTGAAGCCTCGCTCACCAGACGCACATTCTCTAGTTTTCAGACGCAGAGGTCTTCACACCAGAACGTCCGGACGCGAGCCGGAAGTACCGGAAGTACCGGAAGTACCGGAAGTACCAGAAGTACCGGAAGTAGCCGGCTCTGATGCTAACAGAGCTATGCTAGTGGCTTCCTGTGCACAGATCCTCTCCAATATGCAGCTTTGCAGCGAGTCTTTGCTCACAGACATTCCACGGGCTTTATATAACAGCAGTATGTGTTCACGGAGGTGACTTTATATAACAGCAGTATGTGTTCACGGAGGTGACTTTATATAACAGCAGTATGTGTTCACGGAGGTGACTTTATATAACAGCAGTATGTGTTCACGGAGGTGACTTTATATAACAGCAGTATGTGTTCACGGAGGTGACTTTATATAACAGCAGTATGTGTTCACGGAGGTGACTTTATATAACAGCAGTATGTGTTCACGGAGGTGACTTTATATAACAGCAGTATGTGTTCACGGAGGTGACTTTATATAACAGCAGTATGTGTTCACGGAGGTGACTTTATATAACAGCAGTATGTGTTCACGGAGGTGACTTTATATAACAGCAGTATGTGTTCACAGTGACTTTATATAACAGTAGTATGTGTTCACGGAGGTGACTTTATATAACAGTAGTATGTGTTCACGGAGGTGACTTTATATAACAGCAGTATGTGTTCACAGAGGTGACTTTATATAACAGCAGTATGTGTTCACGGAGGTGACTTTATATAACAGCAGTATGTGTTCACGGAGGTGACTTTATATAACAGCAGTGTGTGTTCACGGAGGTGACTTTATATAACAGCAGTATGTGTTCAAGGAGGTGACTTTATATAACAGCAGTATGTGTTCACAGAGGTGACTTTATATAACAGCAGTATGTGTTCACGGTGACTTTATATAACAGCAGTATGTGTTCACGGAGGTGACTTTATATAACAGCAGTATGTGTTCACAGAGGTGACTTTATATAACAGTAGTATGTGTTCACGGAGGTGACTTTATATAACAGCAGTATGTGTTCACAGAGGTGACTTTATATAACAGCAGTATTTGTTCACGGTGACTTTATATAACAGCAGTATGTGTTCACGGAGGTGACTTTATATAACAGCAGTATGTGTTCAAGGAGGTGACTTTATATAACAGCAGTATGTGTTCACGGAGGTGACTTTATATAACAGCAGTATGTGTTCAAGGAGGTGACTTTATATAACAGCAGTATGTGTTCAAGGAGGTGACTTTATATAACAGCAGTATGTGTTCAAGGAGGTGACTTTATATAACAGCAGTATGTGTTCACGGAGGTGACTTTATATAACAGCAGTATGTGTTCACGGAGGTGACTTTTATATAACAGCAGTATGTGTTCACGGAGGTGACTTTATATAACAGCAGTATGTGTTCACGGTGACTTTATATAACAGCAGTATGTGTTCACGGAGGTGACTTTATATAACAGCAGTATGTGTTCACGGAGGTGACTTTATATAACAGCAGTATGTGTTCACAGAGGTGACTTTATATAACAGCAGTATGTGTTCACGGAGGTGACTTTATATAACAGTAGTATGTGTTCACGGTGACTTTATATAACAGCAGTATGTGTTCACGGAGGTGACTTTATATAACAGCAGTATGTGTTCAAGGAGGTGACTTTATATAACAGCAGTATGTGTTCACAGAGGTGACTTTATATAACAGCAGTATGTGTTCACGGTGACTTTATATAACAGCAGTATGTGTTCACGGAGGTGACTTTATATAACAGCAGTATGTGTTCAAGGAGGTGACTTTATATAACAGCAGTATGTGTTCACAGAGGTGACTTTATATAACAGCAGTATGTGTTCACGGAGGTGACTTTATATAACAGCAGTATGTGTTCACGGAGGTGACTTTATATAACAGCAGTATGTGTTCACGGAGGTGACTTTATATAACAGTAGTATGTGTTCACGGAGGTGACTTTATATAACAGCAGTATGTGTTCACGGAGGTGACTTTATATAACAGCAGTTTGTGTTCACAGGAGGTGACTTTATATAACAGCAGTATGTGTTCACGGAGGTGACTTTATATAACAGCAGTATGTGTTCACGGAGGTGACTTTATATAACAGCAGTATGTGTTCACGGAGGTGACTTTATATAACAGCAGTATGTGTTCACGGAGGTGACTTTATATAACAGCAGTATGTGTTCACGGAGGTGACTTTATATAACAGCAGTATGTGTTCACGGAGGTGACTTTATATAACAGCAGTATGTGTTCACGGAGGTGACTTTATATAACAGCAGTATGTGTTCACGGAGGTGACTTTATATAACAGCAGTATGTGTTCACGGGTGACTTTATATAACAGCAGTATGTGTTCACGGAGGTGACTTTATATAACAGCAGTATGTGTTCACGGTGACTTTATATAACAGCAGTATGTGTTCACGGAGGTGACTTTATATAACAGCAGTATGTGTTCACGGTGACTTTATATAACAGCAGTATGTGTTCACGGAGGTGACTTTATATAACAGCAGTATGTGTTCACGGAGGTGACTTTATATAACAGCAGTATGTGTTCACGGAGGTGACTTTATATAACAGCAGTATGTGTTCACGGAGGTGACTTTATATAACAGCAGTATGTGTTCACGGAGGTGACTTTATATAACAGCAGTATGTGTTCACGGAGGTGACTTTATATAACAGCAGTATGTGTTCACGGAGGTGACTTTATATAACAGCAGTATGTGTTCACGGAGGTGACTTTATATAACAGCAGTATGTGTTCACGGAGGTGACTTTATATAACAGCAGTATGTGTTCACGGAGGTGACTTTATATAACAGCAGTATGTGTTCACGGAGGTGACTTTATATAACAGCAGTATGTGTTCACGGAGGTGACTTTATATAACAGCAGTATGTGTTCACGGAGGTGACTTTATATAAAGCAGTATGTGTTCACGGAGGTGACTTTATATAACAGCAGTATGTGTTCACGGAGGTGACTTTATATAACAGCAGTATGTGTTCACGGAGGTGACTTTATATAACAGCAGTATGTGTTCACGGAGGTGACTTTATATAACAGCAGTATGTGTTCACGGAGGTGACTTTATATAACAGCAGTATGTGTTCACGGAGGTGACTTTATATAACAGCAGTATGTGTTCACGGAGGTGACTTTATATAACAGCAGTATGTGTTCACGGAGGTGACTTTATATAACAGCAGTATGTGTTCACGGAGGTGACTTTATATAACAGCAGTATGTGTTCACGGAGGTGACTTTATATAACAGCAGTATGTGTTCACGGAGGTGACTTTATATAACAGCAGTATGTGTTCACGGAGGTGACTTTATATAACAGCAGTATGTGTTCACGGAGGTGACTTTATATAACAGCAGTATGTGTTCACGGTGACTTTATATAACAGCAGTATGTGTTCACGGAGGTGACTTTATATAACAGCAGTATGTGTTCACGGAGGTGACTTTATATAACAGCAGTATGTGTTCACGGAGATGACTTTATATAACAGCAGTATGTGTTCACGGAGATGACTTTATATAACAGCAGTATGTGTTCACGGAGGTGACTTTATATAACAGCAGTATGTGTTCACGGAGGTGACTTTATATAACAGCAGTATGTGTTCACGGAGGTGACTTTATATAACAGCAGTATGTGTTCACGGAGGTGACTTTATATAACAGCAGTATGTGTTCACGTGACTTTATATAACAGTAGTATGTGTTCACGGAGGTGACTTATATAACAGCAGTATGTGTTCACGGAGGTGACTTTATATAACAGCAGTATGTGTTCACGGAGGTGACTTTATACAACAGCAGTATGTGTTCACGGAGGTGACTTTATATAACAGCAGTATGTGTTCACTGTGACTTTATATAACAGCAGTATGTGTTCACGGTGACTTTATATAACAGCAGTATGTGTTCACTGTGACTTTATATAACAGTAGTATGTGTTCATGGAGGTGACTTTATATAACAACAGTATGTGTTCACGGAGGTGACTTTATATAACAGCAGTATGCGTTCATGGAAGTGTCTTTATATAACAGCAGTATGTGTTCACAGTGACTTTATATAACAGTAGTATGTGTTCACGGAGGTGACTTTATATAACAGCAGTATGTGTCCACGGAGGTGACTTTATATAACAGCAGTATGTGTTCACGGAGGTGACTTTATATAACAGCAGTATGTGTTCACGGAGGTGACTTTATATAACAGCAGTATGTGTTCACGGAGGTGACTTTATATAATAGCAGTATGTGTTCACGGAGGTGACTTTATATAACAGTAGTATGTGTTCACGGAGGTGACTTTATATAACGGCAGTATGTGTTCACGGAGGTGTCTTTATATAACAGCAGTATGTGTTCACGGAGGTGACTTTATATAACAGCAGTATGTGTTCACGGAGGTGACTTTATATAACAGCAGTATGTGTTCACGGAGGTGACTTTATATAACAGCAGTATGGGTTCACAGAGGTGACTTTATATAACAGCAGTATGTGTTCACGGAGGTGACTTTATATAACAGCAGTATGTGTTCACGGAGGTGACTTTATATAACAGCAGTATGTGTTCACGGAGGTGACTTTATATAACAGCAGTATGTGTTCACAGAGGTGACTTTATATAACAGTAGTATGTGTTCACGGAGGTGTCTTTATATAACAGCAGTATGTGTTCACGGAGGTGACTTTATATAACAGCAGTATGTGTTCACGGAGGTGACTTTATATAACAGCAGTATGTGTTCACGGAGGTGACTTTATATAACGGCAGTATGTGTTCACGGAGGTGTCTTTATATAACAGCAGTATGTGTTCACGGAGGTGACTTTATATAACAGCAGTATGTGTTCACGGAGGTGACTTTATATAACAGCAGTATGTGTTCACGGAGGTGTCTTTATATAACAGTAGTATGTGTTCACGGAGGTGACTTTATATAACAGCAGTATGTGTTCACGGAGGTGACTTTATATAACAGCAGTATGTGTTCACGGAGGTGCACCATATGTTTATTGTATTATGAGACGGTACTTCCGCGTCGGCGAACACGCGGCGTTAGTGTAGTCACTGGAGAATGATAACTCATGTTCACGAGCACACACAGAGACAGTGTTCTTCAGGGGAAAGGAAAGTGTCCGAGTCTAAGGAGTTATATGTTATTTGTGAATGAAGATGATGTTTTCAGTAAGCTCGGCCTATGTTCAACAGAACTGTGGAACTCTAAAGGTTTATTTGCATTATTTTTTGCTAGAAAAGCTCTCTCTCTTTAACTTAAAGACCTCAGGTTTACATTGGTTACTTTATTCTTTCAGTCGCTCTAAACAAGTATTTTGGGTGAACTTTTAATTTATTTTATTGAACATCAAGTGTTATTTTCATCTGAAAGAAGAATAAGATGCATTATTTTCAGTGAGCTAGATGTGTTTTCAAGGCTTCAAGGTTTTATGCGACTTCTAAGAATGTCTTATTTTTGAATTTTAAGAGCAATATATTTGTTAAGGAATTCATGTGTTTCCATTCAGATGTAAATCAACATGTCTACATTAGTCAGTTAATGGGGAGATAATCGAATCAAACTGAAAAAATGTATTGTTAGATTAATCCTTTAAAAAATAATCGTTTATCTCAGCCCCAGTCCAGACCCAGGTCCAACCCCCGGTCCAGACTCAGGTCCAGCCCCCGGTCCAGCCCAAGGTCCAGCCCCCGGTCCAGACCCAGGTCTAGCCCCAGTTCAGCCCCGGTCCAGGCCCAGGTCCAGCCCCAGTCCAGCCCCAGGTGCAGCCCCAGGTCCAGCCCCAGTCCAGCCCCCGGTGTGTGGTCTGTGGAGACGGTAAAGCAGCCCTGGCAGAGTGAGTGGCAGGTGGGACAGAGCAGGATGATGCAGAACTGATGTGGAGAAGACTGCGTGGCAGCAGCAGATGGTGAGAGAGAGCGCAGTCCCAGAGGACAAACTTTAAGATGTATAAGTTTCTAACTATGTAGCTCCTCATAAAAACACAAACTTCAGGAACTTCTGGAGATTCTTGGGCTAGAAGGACTAAACCAGGTATGTACCAGGACTATGTTGCAGAACATAGAAGCACTATCAGATGCAAAAACTTAAATTACCCTGTAGCAGCTCATTTTATAGAATTCAATCATCCAATCTCTTCATTAAGATATATTGGTATTGAACATGTAACGCTACCCCCAAGAGGTGGAAACCTGGAAGTGCTTTTGTCTAAAAGAGAGCACTTTTGGATCCATCACTTAAAGACTTTAGCTCCTTATGGACTAAATGTGGACTTTGACCTCAGATGTTTCTTATGATTATCTGTATACATTTTATAAGTTAATTTCTTCTATGTATTAATTCTGCTTTTTGATTTTAGACTGGCTGAATTCACTGGGTGTCACACCACACTGGGACCTCCCACTCGTTAGAAGGGGCTTATAGCACCTGGGTTGGCACCATTTTGTATATTGTGATCCAAATGAATAAGATAAAAATGATCTGACGAAGGCTAAGGCCGAAACGTTAATAAATACTAGATCTTTTGGACATCTATCCGAGTGTGCTGTGTATTTTCCACATTTATGTACCAGGACTAAACCAGGACTAAACTAGAACTAAACCAGGACTAAACCAGGACTATAGCAGGACTAAACCAGCCTGAGAGGTTTTGCAGCAGAGGTCAAACTCAGACCACAACATGGCGTCATCTCATGTTACTGTAAAAGAGTGAGTTCTCAGGATGTCTGCTGTCGTTGTGTCCTTGGGCAAGACACTTAACCCCACTTTGCCTGATGCCCCCGCTGAAAGATCATGGCTCCTGTGGACTCAGCACCTGCAGGAGGATCAGTGAGGGGCTGGTGCTCTGACTGCCTCGGATGGATGGATGGATGGAATGTTTAGCAAATCAATCAATCAATCAATCAACGTTTATTTGTATAGCGCCTTTCCTACACAAGGCAACGCAAAGCGCTTCACATCCCCTATCACATCATGCATAAATCAAACACATTAAGAGAACAAGATATATTAAAAACATTAAAAATAAAATCACAAAAATTAAAAACCTTTAAACATTAAAATCACAGATGGGACTAAAATCATAAATAGTCACAGTGCATTAAAAAGATTAAAGATAAAAACAAAGATGAAAAGATAAAATCATTCAGTTGTATATGCGCAGCTAAACAGAATTGTTTTGAGCCTAGATTTAAAAGATGCCAGAGTAGACGCCTGTCTCACATTCTCAGGAAGACGGTTCCAGACTCTAGCCGCATGAATCTGAAATGCAGTTTGCCCATGTCTAGTACCGACTCTGGGCACTAACAGGAGTCCAGTCCCTGTGCTCCTCAGAGTCCGGGTCGGTTCATATGGGACTAACATGTCGTGGATGTACCTTGGCGCGAGACCATGGAGAGACTTGTACACAAGTAAAGCTGCTTTGAAGTCTATTCTCTGAGGAACAGGAAGCCAGTGCAGAGACCTGAGAACTGGACTAATGTGGTCGCACTTCCTAGTTCTGGTCAGGACTGGAGCTGCTGCATGTTGAATGTACTGCAGCTGTTTTACAGCCTGTTTGGACAGACCTGTGAGCAGGCCATTGCAATAGTCTAACCGACTGGAGACAAAAGCGTGTATAAGAGTCTCCAAGTCTGCCTTAGACACTATGTTTTTAATTTTAGCAATGTTTTTTAGGTGGTAATAAGCTGCTGATGAAATGCTGTGGCTCTACTCCCGACGGGCTCAATTATTGGCAGAAGAGATGGCTAAAGCTAGGCTAAATGCTACATGCCTCACTCACCTACGTCACGGTAAACTCAAAACCAATCGTTTCAATCTGCAAAAGGAGTTAGCCCCTCCCACTTGTTAACAGAGTCAATGGAGCAAATCCAGACCTTAGTACAAATGAAATGAGTACAATGGTGTGGTAAGACCAGGCAACAGTGTTAGGCGACATGCGGCGGAAGCTGATTTGACCATAAGCGGGAGCCAAAGTCCATATGGGCATTTGTTCTGACATAGCTTTACGCGGTAAAAGGTGTTGCTAAGGCGAGCTGGAGTTACACCACAGGCATCTGGCTCTTATCAAATACAATATCACCATCCAATCCAGTCACTTCCTGTGTGATGCTTAGAGCAGAGACAACAGCACAAATACAGAGGGTCGCTCTGGTTCTGTTTGGATCTTACTCTGTGGAAGAAAGGTCGCACTGGGTCCCAAGATGGCGGCCTGTCCCAAGATGGCGGCCTGTCAACCAGAAAACGCGAAAGTCACGCACATGAAACTATTGCGGAAAGCGATGTCAAGTTACCGGCAAAGTACGTCAACAAAAGAAACCGGAAACGCCTCAATCCCGCAATAATAAAGCACCGGAAATGTAAGGTGTTTCAGACTGTTAATGATTCCAGGCTGATGCGGGATCCAAAGTCAAAAGGAGTCGTATGTGGACATTTAAACATTGACCAAGTTCAGCACATCCTCGATGACTTTAATATTGACTTCCTTTGTCTTCCTGAAACATGGCTTCATGATGTCATCTGTACCTGGGTGTAACATCTTCAGGAGACAGAAAGGGTGCTAAAGGAGGTGGCGTTATGATTTATGCGAAAGACACTTTTAAATGTAATGAACTGGAATGTCTTAGTTTAATGAAACCCTGTCACTGCAAATGTCTTTCACTCTGGTTATTATAGACCCCCTTCATCAATTGCAGACTATCATGACAAACTGGATTTGTTGCTAAAGCAATTAAAACACATGAAAGAGTTAATTGTTTTGGGTGATTTTAATATAAATTGGGAAGATAACAAAGCAAGGAAAGGTTTGAAGAAAGTTATGGATGAAATCAACATGACCCAGGAAGTTGGTGGCATCATTTAACTTGCTCATTGGACTGTCTGATTATAATTTCATAATGGTGTCCAGAAAACTAAACAATAAGAAGTTCAAACCATTGCCAGCCACAGAATTTCTTAGAATACCAAAAAATGAAATCCAACAAAGGCAAGGCAAGTTTATTTGTATAGCACAATTCATACACAAGGCAACTCAAAGTGCTGAACAGAACAAGATAGCATTAAAATCATAAATAATCACAGAACATTAAAAAGAAAGATAAAGACTTCCGGGTGACGTCATGAGAGGAGAAGCAGCTTGAAATCTGGGCTTACAATAGAGTCCCCTTAAACTAGCCAAGAATTTGCAAACGAGGGCGCTTCTGTGCCTAATAGTTGTGCCAGGACATGTTGGGCCCGCGTAAAGAAACAAGGTCAACCAAAAAAGATGATAAACGCGAACAATTCGAGGAAGCAACTGTGGAAGCCAGTGAACCCGAAGGCAGCATGGCATCTCTGCTAGCGGAGCTAAAGAGCTTCAGAAAAGAGCATACGGATGCCTCTAACGATACCAAGGCCACTCTTGTCCGTGTTGAAAACACCCTGAAAGAAGTCGTCGAACGGACGGCCAAACTCGAACAGGAAATGACTGATATTAAGGAGAGGGTGAGTGACAATGAGGACCAGCTTCAGCGCCATGACAGAGCTATACGCTACATGCTACAAAGAGAAGCTAAGCTTTCAGCTAAGTGCGAGGACCTCGAATCCAGATCCAGGCGCAACAACCTGCGCATATTCGGGGTGCGCGAGGGGGAAGAGAAAAACGACATGATTCGCTTTATCACAGGTATGATTCGCAACACACTGAAATTACCACAAGATCTGGATCTTGGCGTAGAGAGGGCGCACCGCTCACTAACTATGAAGCCGAGAGAAGACGCGCCACCACGGTCCATTATAGTCAGATTCTTGGACTACAGAGTGAAAGATCGAGTTCTACAAGAAGCGTGGAAAACCCGCGGGATCACATATCAGGACCAGAAGGTGTTTTTTGACCAGGATTACACCGCTGATATTCAAAAGAAACGCAAACAAGTGAGAGAGGTGATTAAACAACTTAAAGAGAGGAAGATGAGAGCTGTTTCGCCGTTTCCTGCTCAGCTGAAAATCCAAATGGATTCGGGAGTGAAGACGTTCTCTACACTCGCACAGGCAGCACCAACCCTCAAGCAGTTGGGAATAAAGGTGAACATAAGTGAGAGAGAGATTCGTCGGGAAGACCTACTTCACAACAACACATGGACCACGAGATCAAAGGATCCTGGGAACACAACGATGGCCAGTGCGGACCTGGACCTGCTTCTGCGAGAAGACGTGTAGCTGATATTTTCCTGGAATTGACTGGTAACTATCAAAACAAGGGATACACAAGGCTAGTGACAATAATGATGCTCATAATAATAAGTTCAAGGGACTTTATCCTGCCCAGGGGAAGGTGGGATGACTTTCATGTTGAGTTATGTCTTTTTTAGTTTATTTTTTTGCAGAGGCAACTTTACATGCGGCCTTGTGCGGTATGACTGTTGCCACTACACCACTGGGTGTACCAGACGGAGGAGTTTCGTCACGCCCCTCCGTCTCCATAGCGACCGAGTTTGAGGAAGCTCGTTTGGACAGTTCAAAGTTTGGAAGTTTGTTTATCTTGTTCATAATGTATGTTCTAATTGGTGTAAAAGGTATGTTTCTGAAATACAAAAAGTGCAATTACAGAGAGATGGGTACATGTTCTATAATAATGTATATAAGTAAATGCAAGAATGCCTCTTAACTCAATGAGGAGTCTAAAAATTGTCTCATATAATGTCCATGGCTTGAATCATCCCATAAAGAGGAAAAAGATATTAAGTCAATTAAAAAAGATGCAATGTTCTATTGCCCTTTTACAAGAAACCCATTTGAATGATGTGGAACATAAAAAACTAAAAAGAGAATGGGTAAACCAAGCATACAGTTCATCATTTGGGAAAAGAAGAGGTGTGGCTATTCTAATATGCAGATCCCTGGCATTCTCTGCTGACAATGTAATACAAGATAAATTCGGTAGATATGTTATGATAGTAGGACGAGTAGGAGATGAGGAATTACCATTATGAATCTGTATGCTCCGAATGAATATAATGTATCATTTTTCAAGGACATAGCAAATGTTGTGGCGGAGAAGGCTAAGGGAATTGTGATAATTGGAGGAGATTTCAATGCTGTCCAAGATGGCAAACTTGATAGAACACCAGCAGAAATTGGTCCGGAAACTATAAAAACAAAAATGCTCAATAACATGATCACTGAACTCGGCCTGGGAGACCCATGGAGAAACAAAAATCCAAGCATGAAAGATTACACGTTCTTCTCAAATGTTCATAATAGCTATTCAAGAATAGATTTCTTTTGTGTGTCAAAACAACATATGCACAAAATAACTGATTGCAACATTGAAACAATAACACTGAGTGACCATGCCCCAGTAATTATGCATCTGGACTTATGTAAAGATAGTTTTTTCAAATATTGGAGATTAAATGTATCATTACTAACTAACATAGAGGTAATCCAAGAACAAAAAAAACATTGAAAGATTATTTAGAAACTAATGATACTGGAGAGGTTACTCCCTCAATTTTGTGGAGTGGAGCCAAAGCTGTAATTAGGGGGAAAATGATTCAAATATCATCCCGATTGAAGAGAACCAGAATAAAACAACAGACCATTCTCGAACAAAAAATAAAACTCTTAGAGGCTGAACATAAAAATACAGGTGAAAATAATACATTGATGAGACTAAAAGAAGCCAGAGGACAACTGGATACAATTCTTACTTACAAAGCCGAAGGGGCTCTTAGATTCTCAAGACAACGATACTATGAGATGGGTGGTAGAGCAAGTCGTCTTCTGGCTTTTCAACTTCGTAAAGCACAGACTGACAGGATGATTCCTAAAATAACTAATCCCACAAACAAAGCAATTGTTCATCAACCTAAAGAAATAGCCGATGCATTTGCATCGTTTTATAAGAAACTTTATGAAGAGCCAAACGTGATGAATGATGAGCTCCAGCAGGAAAGTAAATTATTTTTAAATCACCTAAATTTGCCTAAATTATCAGAAGAGGAATCCTCCGATATGGTTTCAAACATAACAGAATCTGAAATTAGGGAGACAATTAAAAAGTTAAAAAATAATAAATCACCCGGTACTGATGGACTCCCTGGAGAGTTTTATAAGTGCTTTGTGGATGAGCTAGCTCCGTTATTGACCAGAGTCTTCAACTATGCTCTTGCAAAGTGTGACGTGTCAGACTCATGGTCTGAAGCCATCATTTCGGTCATTCATAAGGAAGGAAAGGATCCTGTGCTTTGTGAAGGATACAGACCAATAAGTCTATTATGCAATGATCTAAAATTATTAACAAATATATTAGCTAAAAGAATACAAAAAAATATAAAGAAATTAATTAAACCAGATCAGACAGGATTTATACCAAGTCGGCATAGTGCTAATAATATAAGGAGAACATTGAATGTTATAACACAAGCACAAAATAACACTAATAGCTCTATGTTAATCAGTTTTGACGCACAAAAGGCATTCGATACTGTCAGTTGGCACTTTCTGTACAGTACCCTTTCAGCAATGGGCTTTCATTCACAATTTGTGGAGTGGATAAAAGTGATATATATGAATCCTAAATCGTGTGTTCGGGTTAATGGATGCTGCTCGGATTACTTCTATTTGGAGAGAGGAGTCCGTCAGGGTGACTGCCTCAGCCCCCTGCTATTTGCAATTAATATTGAACCCCTCGCTGCATTAATCAGGAATAATAATAATATTAAAGGCATCAAAGACAAAAATCGAAAGGAACACAAAGTCTCACTTTTTGCAGACGATATTTTAACATATATTAGTGATCCAGCGGCGTCCATTCCAGCACTCATGGAGTCTTTACAGGAATATGGCAAGTTTTCTGGCTACCAAATAAATCAATCGAAATCGGAAGCTATGATGTTAAAGGGGCAGTGGCCTGCAAATCTGACGAGTAGGTTTGCATTTCGGATGAGTAATCAAGGATTCAGATATCTGGGAATTATGATCACTCCACAGTTGCACAACTGTTTAAACCAAACTATGGGAAATTGATGGATGATCTCAAAAGAGATTTTGCTAGATGGGAAATACTGCCTCTCTCTCTTGTAGGAAGAGTGGAAACTATTAGAATGAATGTGTTACCGAGATTGTTATTTTTGTTCCAGTCACTGCCGATAAAGGTGCCAATGGCTACATTCACAATCCTTAATAAGTGGCTCTCGAAATTCATCTGGCAGAATAAACGTCCAAGAATTAAACTTAAAACACTAATGTGCTCTAAAAGGATGGGAGGACTGAATATTCCAAACCTAAGAAATTACTATCTGGCGGCTCAGCTTAAATCAATGACCACATGGATCTCTCGGGAAGAGGAAACCATCTGGTATTCTATGGAACAAGGGGATTGTACGAATGTAGCACTTGATACTTTGCCTTTTGTGGGTCTGGATTTATGGTCCAAGAAAAAAATTACAAATGAAATGGTAAAGAATACGCTGTCAATATGGTCAAGTGTAAGAAAAACGCTGAACCTCCCCAGTCTAATCTGTAGATTGATACAAATACATCATAATCCTGAGTTCCCTCCTGCACCAAATTTTAGTAACTGGGTCGGAAAAGGCCTAATTATGTTGAGTCAAGTGTCTGAAAATGGGAGACTGATGTCTTTTCAGCAGCTCAAACAAATATATAACCTACCAAATGGAGACTTCTATAAATATTTACAACTAAGACATTATATTAGCAAAAATAATATTCTAGACCACCTGCAAAATACACCCTCGGATATGGAATGCTTTTTATTAGCTGTGATAAAAAGGAGAATTACCTCTAAAATTATATCTCATGTTTATAAGTTATTGCAGGAGGGTGTCAGTGAAAATACACTGCACATCAAAGGTAAATGGGAATTAGAAATGAATACAATAATTGCAGATGAGGACTGGGAAGAGTCGCTTCAGGAAGGATATAAAATAACTAATAGTCCAGTATTAAGGGAGTTTGAGTGGAAAACTAAAATCCGATTTTTTAGAACCCCCTTTATCACATCTAAATTTGGTAAAACCTCGGACAAGTGTTGGAGGGACTGCGGTCTTGTTGGAGACCATACGCACATATTTTGGGATTGCCCAAGGTTATCAAACTTCTGGAAAGCCATACAATGTGAAATTGAAAAATGTCTGCACATAAAAATAATACTGGAACCAACCTCAGCATTATTGGGAATATTTAAAAAGGAAATCAAATCAAAATGTGAATTTTATCTACTGAGGATTCTACTTCTGATAGCAAAGAAAACGATAACGGTCTCCTGGCTCAGACCGCAGCCCCCCACCATCACTGAGTGGAAAAGCAGGTTAAGGGACGTATATCAGATGGAACAGATAACGGCCCGACTGCAGATGAAAACTGACATATTTACAGATAAATGGTCTTTAATTCAAACATATTTGTCAAATGGATGATTGTTGTATCAATATTGTGTAAGTAGTTTAATATGGACCAGATAACAATATTGTATCGGTAACTGTACCTATATTTCTTGTCTGATTGCTATTTTGTAAATAAGTGTAACTTGCACCATTTATAATAAAAACAAGTTCAAAAAACATAGTGTCTAAAGCAGACTTGGAGATTCTTATCCATGCATTTGTCTCCAGTAGGTTAGACTACTGCAATGGCCTGCTCACAGGTCTGTCCAAACAGGCTGTAAAACAGCTGCAGTACATTCAAAATGCAGCAGCTCGAGTCCTGACTAGAACCAGGAAGTACGACCACATTAGTCCGGTCCTCAGGTCCCTGCACTGGCTTCCTGTGGCTCAGAGAATAGACTTTAAAACAGCTCTGCTTGTGTACAAATCTCTCCATGGCCTCGCACCAAACTATATTAGTGACATGTTAGTCCCATATGAACCAGCCCGGACTCTGAGGAGCACAGGGACTGGACTCCTGTTAGTGCCCAGAGTCAGAACTAAACATGGGGAGGCTGCTTTTCAGATTCATGCTGCTAAAATCTGGAACAGTCTTCCTGAAGATGTGAGACAGGCCTCCTCTCTGACAATGTTTAAGACAAGGTTGAAAACAGTTCTGTTTAGCTGTGCATACAACTGAGGGATTTTATATTTTTATCTTTTTTTAATGTACTGTGATTATTTATGATTTTAATGCTTTCTTGTTCTGTTCAGCACTTTGAATTGCCTTGTGTATGAATTGTGCTATATAAATAAACTTGCCTTGCCTTGCCTTGCCTTGCCTTGGTTATAGTGTAGTTATAGTGTGGTTATAGTTTGGTTATATTGTAGTTATAGTGTAGTTATAGTGTAGTTATAGTGTGGTTATAGTTTGGTTATAGTGTAGTTATAGTGTAGTTATAGTGTAGTTATAGTGTGGTTATAGTGTGGTTATAGTGTAGTTATAGTGTAGTTATAGTGTGGTTATAGTGTGGTTATAGTGTAGTTATAGTGTAGTTATAGTGTAGTTATAGTGTGGTTATAGTGTAGTTATAGTGTGGTTATAGTGTAGTTATAGTGTAGTTATAGTGTGGTTATAGTGTGGTTATAGTGTAGTTATAGTGTAGTTATAGTGTAGTTATAGTGTGGTTATAGTGTAGTTATAGTGTAGTTATAGTGTAGTTATAGTGTGGTAATAGTGTAGTTATAGTGTGGTTATAGTTTGGTTATAGTGTAGTTATAGTGTAGTTATAGTGTGGTTATAGTGTAGTTATAGTGTAGTTATAGTGTGGTTATAGTGTAGTTATAGTGTAGTTATAGTGAAGTTATAGTTTGGTTATAGTGTGGTTATAGTTTAGTTATAGTGTAGTTATAGTGTAGTTATAGTGTAGTTATAGTGTGGTTATAGTGTAGTTATAGTGTAGTTATAGTGTAGTTATAGTGTGGTTATAGTGTAGTTATAGTGTAGTTATAGTGTGGTTATAGTGTGGTTATAGTGTAGTTATAGTGTAGTTATAGTGTGGTTATAGTGTAGTTATAGTGTAGTTATAGTGTAGTTATAGTGTAGTTATAGTGTAGTTATAGTGTGGTTATAGTGTAGTTATAGTGTAGTTATAGTGTAGTTATAGTGTGGTTATAGTGTGGTTATAGTGTAGTGTGGACTTTCAGATACAACCTCTGTCATTCTTGGAGCTTTGTGAGAGTTTTGTTTCAATTGGATTGTCCCATGTTTTTGTCTTTCTGCTTTCTCTGGTCTCTCTCTCTGGTCTTTCTTTGGTCTCTCTCTCTCTGGTGTCTGTTTGGTTTCTCTCTGGTCTCTCTCTGGTCTTTCTTTGGTCTCTCTCTGGTCTCTCTGGCCTCTCTGGTCTCTCTGGCCTCTCTGGCCTCTCTCTGGTCTCTCTCTGGTCTCTCCCTGGTCTCTCTCTCTCTCTCTGGTCTCTCTGGCCTCTTTGGTCTCTCTGATAGATACAGTAGATACTTTATCGATCGCTGTAGGAGAAACACATCTATTCATAAAACAAAACAAATAAATAGATAATTCTAATCTAAAAGTAGCAACAATAGAAATTAAAGCCGCAAGCGGCATCTAACGGCCCTCGCCGCACCGCGCAAAGGAGGTGGCGCTGAATTGTGTGTGACTTTGAAAAGGTAAACCTTATTCTCCCCATGTAATACTTGACTCAGTCTGTAGGGGGCGCTAATGCAGAAATTTCGTCTTTAACACTTTCAGTTTACCCAAACCCGAGAATTGAACAATCAATTCAAATTTTGTGCAAATCGGACTTTGTATGTGCAAATTGTGGCATTTAATGTTGTACAACAGCACCCCCTACAATTTAATTTTCTTAGTGTTATACCAAAGAACACCAAAATAATACACTTTATGCCTGAAAAAACTTGTGGCAAAGTTTGGTGAGTTTTTGTGTTTGTTCAGTGGGTCAAATATGAGATCAAACAACAGAAAACCTAAATACCTGTATCCCCATGTAAACCTTCACTCAGCCTGCAGGGGGCGATAATGGGCCAATGTCATTGTTCACACTGTCATGTGACCTAGGCCAAGGAGTTGAACAACCGAGTCAAGTTTAGTGCAAATCAGAGTTTGTAAATGTGCTCCTGTTTGTTCATACAATCTGTGAGTGTGTCCATACAGTCTCCATTGGATAACATGGGAACTTCACACCTGTCTATGAAAATAACCCCACTTTGGGAGTCTGTCACGTGCAGACCGTTTGACTAAGTCAAATTCTATATTCAACTATTGATGGTCCATGTGTTGAAACCATGTGGAGCAATTTTCAGACAAATTAGTGAAACGGCCGCCTCTGGTTTGATGTTTGAGCGAGGTCTACTTTTCAGAGATTTAACGATTTTCTCATAGACACAGACAGGGGAGTGTTTGTGGTCGTCACGGCAACAGGGTAAAAAATAATCATATGTTGTCATTGACTTTTTGAATCCAGATAACAAAACAGAATTATGTGCAAAATTTCAAACATTTTGAAAAAACTAAATTTGAAAAAGCCCATGTAAAATTTTGACATGGTCTGTAGGGGGCGCTAATGAGTCAATTTCTATATTTCCACTTTCAAATGACCTAGACCCTGGAGCTGAACAATGGATTAAAATTTGGTGCAAATCCGGTTTGGTTTGTGCAAATGGGAGCAAATTAACTTTTGTCAAAAATTGGAAAAAAAATGTCATATTTTGCCGCTCCGCTGCTTGGACAACGTTTAACTGATCCAAATTCTATATTCAATAATAGATGGGACATGGGTTTAGACCATGTGGAGCAATTTTGAGACAAATCGGTGAAACGGCCAAGGAGGAAATAATTTCCAGCCGACATGTGTGAAAAAAATCAATTTTCATTTTTCCATTTCCCGTTGAAATTAATGAGCTTCCTGTTTGCCAGGGGGCGGAGCCATAATAACTTTTTTTTCATGTCTTGACCTGAGGAACATGTGTACCGAGTTTCGTGGCTCTACGACAAACTTGACCTCCGACCCCCTCCCATAGGCGCAATGTAAACTGACTTTTGTAGGGGGCGCTATTCTGACATTTTTTTTGTCCCATAAAAATAAACACCAAAAAAATTAATTTTTCGCCGGTTCTGAATTTTGGGCAAAATTTCACAACTTTTCATCAATGTTCAGGGGGTCAAATTAAGGTTCAAAGCGCAGAAGAAAAAAGAAGAAAGAAAGAAAGAAAGAAACCAAGGAATTTTTTTTAAATCTTCGAGCAAAAACAATATAGTAACCTATAATACAAATGATACGTCGTTTTAAAGCGAACGACGAGGCGAACGCAACTATTGGCTTCTCGGTGATCACCTCGCCATCATGAGGTCACCCACCCCCCCCATAGGACCCCATTGATTACACAGCAGGAGCAAAGCCAAGCACGTGCCCTCGCGTGCAGGTCACAATCTCCGGGCTGCGCCCGGAGATTGTGACTTATGACAGTTACAACGAGTTGGAAAAGCAATAGGCCCTTACCCCGGTTGGGGCTCGGGCCTAATAAAATGCAATTGCACTTTATGTTACAGCAGCAGAGGTGGTGTAGCCTCTGGGTGGAGCACTTTAGGTCACAGCAGCACAGGTGCAGTAGCATTTGGGTGGAGCAGGACAGGTCACAGCAGCAGAGGTGGGGTAGCCTCTGGGTGGAGCACTTTAGGTCACAGCAGCAGAGGTAGGGTAGCATCTGGGTGGAGCAGGACAGGTCACAGCAGCAGAGGTGGTGTAGCCTCTGGGTGGAGCACTTTAGGTCACAGCAGCAGAGGTGGTGTAGCCTCTGGGTGGAGCACTTTAGGTCACAGCTGCAGAGGTGGTGTAGCCTCTGGGTGGAGCACTTTAGGTCACAGCAGCAGAGGTGGTGTAGCCTCTGGGTGGAGCACTTTAGGTCACAGCTGCAGAGGTGGTGTAGCCTCTGGGTGGAGCACTTTAGGTCACAGCAGCAGAGGTGGTGTAGCCTCTGGGTGGAGCACTTTAGGTCACAGCAGCAGAGGTGGTGTAGCCTCTGGGTGGAGCACTTTAGGTCACAGCAGCAGAGGTGGTGTAGCCTCTGGGTGGAGCACTTTAGGTCACAGCAGCAGAGGTGGTGTAGCCTCTGGGTGGAGCACTTTAGGTCACAGCTGCAGAGGTGGTGTAGCCTCTGGATGGAGCACTTTAGGTCACAGCAGTAGAGGTGGAGTAGCCTCTGGGTGGAGCAGGTTCTTTTAATTAGACAAAAAGTAAAGAGAGCTTGTACTGCTTCCTTCCCTGTGTGTGGGTGTGTGTGTGTGTCTGTGTCTGTCTGTGTGTGTGTGTCTGTATCTGTGTGTGTGTGTGTGTCTGCTTGTGTGTGTGCGTGTGTGTCTATGTGTGTGTGTGTGTGTCTGTGTCTGTGTGTGTGTGTGCGTGTGTGTGTGTGTGTCTGTGTGTGTCTGTCTGTGTGTGTGTGTCTGTGTGTGTATGTGTGTGTGTCTGTGTCTGTGTGTGTGTGTGTCTGTGTGTGTGTGTGTCTGTGTCTGTGTGTGTGTCTGTGTGTCTGTCTGTGTGTCTGTGTCTGTCTGTGTGTGTGTGTGTGTGTGTGTGTGTGTCTGTGTCTGTCTGTGTGTGTCTGTGTGTGTGTGTGTGTGTGTCTGTGTCTGTCTGTGTGTGTGTCTGTGTGTGTGTGTGTGTGTGTGTGTCTGTGTCTGTCTGTGTGTCTGTGTGTGTGTCTGTGTGTCTGTGTCTGTCTGTGTGTCTGTCTGTGTGTGTGTGTCTGTGTCTGTCTGTGTGTGTGTGTGTGTGTGTGTGTGTGTCTGTGTCTGTCTGTGTGTGTGTCTGTGTGTGTGTGTGTAGGCTCTGCGATCCCTGTGGGCATTGATGTTCAGGTGGAGAGTATCGACAGCATCTCTGAAGTCAACATGGTGAGAACCTTAAAGACTCCATCTGTCTGTGATGAACAAAAACCCACAAAGTTACACCTTTGTCAACAAATATCAACTATGGTCTCTCTGGTCTCTCTGGTCTCTCTCTGTGTGGTCTCTCTCCGGTCTCTCTCTGGTCTCTCTCTGTGTGGTCTCTCTCCGGTCTCTCTCTGGTCTCTCTCTGGTCTCTCTCTGGTCTCTCTCTGGTCTCTCTCCGGTCTCTCTCTGGTCCCTCTCTGGTCTCTCCCTCTGGTCTCTCTCTCTGGTCTCTCTCTCTCTGGTCTCTCTCTCTCTGGTCTCTCTCTGGTTTCTCTCTCTGGTCTCTCTCTGGTCTCTCTCTCTGATCTCTCTCTGGTCTCTCTGTGGTTTCTCTTTGGTCTCTCTCTCTGGTCTCTCTCCGGTCTCTCGGTCTCTCTCTGGTCCCTCTCTGGTCTCTCTCTGGTCTCTCTCTGTGGTCTCTCTGTGGTTTCTCTTTGGTCTCTCTGGTCTCTCTCTGGTCTCTCTCTGTGGTCTCTCTGTGGTCTCTCTGTGGTTTCTCTTTGGTCTCTCCGGCCTCTCTGGTCTCTCTCTCTGGTCTCTCTGGTCTCTCTGGTCTCTCTCCGGTCTCTCTCTGGTCCCTCTCTGGTCTCTCTCCGGTCTCTCTCTGGTCCCTCTCTGGTCTCTCTCTGGTCTCTCCCTCTGGTCTCTCTCTCTCTGGTCTCTCTCTCTCTGGTTTCTCTCTCTGGTCTCTCTCTGGTCTCTCTCTCTGGTCTCTCTCTGTGGTCTCTCTGTGGTTTCTCTTTGGTCTCTCTGGTCTCTCTGTGGTTTCTCTTTGGTCTCTCTGGTCTCTCTCTGGTCTCTCTCTCTGGTCTCTCTCTGGTCTCTCTCTCTGGTCTCTCTCTGGTTTCTCTCTCTGGTCTCTCTCTGGTCTCTCTCTCTGGTCCCTCTCTGGTCTCTCTCTGGTCTCTCTGGTCTCTCCGGTCTCTCTCTGGGCTCAGGACTTCACCATGACCCTGTACCTGCGTCACTACTGGAAGGATGAGCGGCTGTCGTTCCCGTCGCACAACAACCAGAGCAGGACGTTTGACTCTCGTCTGGTGAAGAAGATCTGGGTCCCCGACGTCTTCTTCGTTCACTCCAAACGCTCCTTCATCCACGACACCACAATGGACAACATCATGCTGAGGGTCTACCCCGACGGCAACATCCTGTACAGCGTCAGGTAACACACACACACACACACACACACACATACACGTTTTTGTTACCTGGTGGGTCCCTTTGACAGGGCCGTTCAGAAAGGGACCCATAGACATAATCTTTTTTTACTGGGACTACTTTAAGTAATACAAAACAGTCAATAGAAACCAAACAACTCTTTTAAAGGAATTTTATTTTAGATTTTTTTTTCGAATTGCAGTGATTCTATTTTTGACATAGAATTTAATGCCACTCCATGTCCGATGTCTAAGGTCATCTGGTGAGGTCATCTGAGGTGCAGGCCAGGCCAGGCAGTGAGACTTCCCAGGGACCTTTCCAGTCTGTATGAAAGGTGTCATGGTCTTCTCCACAGCCTTCACCTCAGATGCAGACCATGGCTTTCTTACACGTTCTAGGGAGAGAAATAAAAATATATTAGCAATATACACTCCCAGGGTTAGGACCAAGCAGCCTGGCTGTAATCCCCCACCTGGTACACTTACCAGAAGGGGCACTGCCACTACCATGGGGTGCATCTGGATGAATGGTTGAAGGTTCTCCGCTTGAAGTTTCTTTTAGCCCGTCCGTTTGTGAGAGGATCTCTACTGCTCTCCCTGTCGCACAGAGAATAAAAAGGGGAAAAAAATCATACATATTTTAATAATATCAAGAATTACCTTCAGGCTCAATTTGTATCTGGTCGAGGCTCTTTCCTTCGAATTCCGTCACTCTTCCCTGCTCCATGGCCATCAACACTTTGCTGATTTTGGCCAGCTCCAGTGTCCCCTCTGGTAGTCTGTAATATTGCCTGTGGATGCGAATGTCATGGCCGAGGAAGTTGGCAAGTATGTCCATTTCATTCTCTTTCATATTGAGAACTGTAGACATAGTAGCTATGTGCTTTCTAAGTTTGGTTGAGGATAGCATCTCTGGATGCACCGCACCACATTCTTTGGCTACCTGGCGTAGGGAGTCTGATCCCCTGATGTGGGTGTCTGCGCCCGGGCGGGAGAAGAAGTATGGGTTATGGTCAGAGATGGAACAGGCCCTTCTGTTCTCCACCAGCACCTCCATCGAAGCAATCATTTCAGGAGTCAAAAGAACCGGCACTTTCCGACTTCTTTTCCCTTTAATTTCAATGCGTTGAAAATGCTGACACAGCTTTTTCTCAAGTTGGGACAGTCCCAGAGCAATGTCAGAATGGATCCCAGTCTTACTTCTTAAGGTAAAGGCTGTCAGTGGCATCTTTGAAACCTCACCTTCCCTTCTTCGATTGAAAATGATGACCTCACAAAGAGTCAAAACTGCCAGTTTAGACCAATGCTTAGACGTTGGCTCACTTATTAGGGTTTGCACATATTCAGGTCGACATACCTCAATATGTGCATGCATGGCTCTAACGTCCTCAGTCAGAGGGAGCAGGTCCGGAGTGTTCCACTTGGCTTGCCGGAGGGTCTGTAGGGCAGCAGAAGAAACACAGACGTCCCACCTCTTCTCAAAAAGCAGCCGGCTTCGTTGGAGGTTTTTAATAAATAGTTCATCAACACAATGCTCCATTTTTGAGTCACATTCAAGAATATCTGCTAGCTTTCTGAGGCTATGGCCGAGTTTGAGGGCCAAGGATGGAGTCTTGTATTGATTTGTTTCCTCATCATATCCAGCCACAGACCTGACTGCATCAATCACATGGTTAAAGTTGGAAGGAATAAAGAAATCCTTAATTGTTTTCAGTTTCCCTGCAGTTTTTGCTTCGTTAATTAACCTACCGACTTCTCTCATTTTCTGCCTAATGTAATCATGCTTAGTCTTATCATGCCCGTGTTTTAAGTACAGGTGCTCTCCGAGTCTCAGAATCCCCTTTTCTGCTTTGACAACACCCGTGACCTCATCCTGATGTATTGCCGAAATTAAAGACCACAGCTTATTGCTGATGCCCTCCGGTACAGGCTGGGCTAGGGAGCAGAGGGACTGGACCCTACTTCTACCTGGTTTAGCCTGGTTTAGCCTGGGCATCTTTCTGTGAAAGCCGGCACCTGGCCACATGCCTCCACAGCGACTTTCGCTTAAGCAATGCCCCACAGTCTATACAGTGCAAAAACTCACTGGATTTAACTGGGCAATTTGGCTGTTTAGCTGGGACTAAAGTTCCAATGCCGGCCTTTAAAACCTCAAAATTGTGCTCACGGTTTCCACTATTCCTGATCAAATCAAACTGAAGTTTACGTGCTTTAGATTTCACAGGTAGAGCCAATGCTCTGGCTACGTCACTTTCATTTCCATGTTTTCTAGTCAAATGACGGGACATTTTGTGGCAGGACATTGAACAGTAGAGGCAGAAGTGTCTCTTGCTGTGTCTCTGGTCTCTCTGGTCTCTCTCTGGTCTCTCTGGTCTCTCTCTGGTCTCTCTGGTCTCTGGTCTCTCTCTGGTTTCTCTCTGGTCTCTCTCTGGTCTCTCTGGTCTGTGGTCTCTCTCTGGTCTCTGGTCTCTCTGGTCTCTCTGGTCTCTCTCTGGTCTCTCTGGTCTCTCTCTGGTCTCTCTGGTCTCTCTCTGGTCTCTCTCTGGTCTCTGGTCTCTCTGGTCTCTCTGGTCTCTCTCTGGTCTCTGGTCCCTCAGACTTGACTTCCTGTACATGTGTGTCTGTTCCAGGGTGACAGTGACCGCTCTCTGCTCCATGGACTTCAGTCGTTTTCCTCTGGACACACAGAACTGTTCTCTGGAGCTGGAGAGCTGTGAGTCCTCTCCTAACACACCTTTAAATTACCTCTGTGTCTGGGTGGGTTTCCTCCAGGCGCTCCGGTTTAAATCCCCAAAACACTCAGCATCTAACTTGCCTTGCGACCGAATACCAAATATAGCTATAATTAAAATTTTGTTTTCAATCCCACTGCTCACATGTGGGTCAGGGGAAGAAGGTTCTAAAAGTCACACAACAATGAGAGCGTAACGAGCCGTGGAGGCGTGTTTGGGTGAGTGAAGCTCTCTCTGTCAGACTGGGCTGTTGATTCTTCATTTATAATAGCACAAGGCAGTAGCGGACCACCATGAACCACCAAAAGGCTTTAAGAGCAGTTTGTGTTTTCTCATAGTATTTTCTGTGTTCTGTGTGACTTGGTGGACTTTATGGATACTCAGCTGCTGTGCTTGTGTCGCAGACGCCTACAACGAGAACGACCTGATGTTGTACTGGAAGAACGGAAACGACTCCCTGAGGACCGACGAGATGGTTCTGTCCCAGTTCTTCATCGAGCACTTCCAGGCCTCCAGTGGACTGGCCTTCTACAGCAGCACCGGTCTGTTCAACACTCCATCCATCTCCAGACTATACCTGCATTTCTATGGCCTCTTCACTAAACTGAGTCCTTAGACCCAATGGTGTAGGTTTGGTTCCAATCTTGGTGGGGACATTCACTACGACCTGAGTCTACACCCATTGACACAGGGTCCAGAGTTTCTCCCCCAGAATTTGTTGTGTAATCACACACTATATTTGCAATAGTGTGTTGCCTTCTATACTAAACTCAGCTGTAGACTGAATGAGAAGCAGTTATGTATGTTAACAGAAGATTAATCATCACAATTCATAATTTGCTATTACTTGTGCTTTCTCTTACTTACTTTCCAACTGTTAAAAAAGCTCCTGATATCTTTTATCTTATTTGTGGAGGTGGCATTTTTTCTAAATTATATAAGAAGGTATAGACAATCAAAAACAGACATTCATAAACATGAACTGCAGAATCATTTATATAACTTGGCCAATGTCAAAAGTTACATAGTATTTCTCAATACAATGAGTTAACAAGAGTTTGGCAATAAGTAACAGTGTGGATTTTTCTATATTTTTTTTTTTATTCCACTCTCAACTCAAAAAGGCAAGTAATGACCCACAGGGCTCTCAAGTATGCAAAATAAAAACTTAAATGACCTGTTGTGGTGTGTTTTGCGCACAACCAGCATGCATCGTTAACGCAATGGAAAATGTAGGTATCCGAGCTTTAATTTCGGGAGCGCTGGTTGCGCTTTGGGAAGAGTCAGGGAAGAGACATGTCAGAGACACAGGGGAGAAACGGGGGAGATACGAGGGAGACCCGCACTTGCAACATGGTTCTGTCTGCATATGGTCCGAGCTCGGTACCATGTTAGAGCTGTCATTACAAAGCTGCAGCAGCTGCACCAGGACGTGCACATTCGAGTGCATCGCTTGAATGTGCTTAGAGCAAATAACAGCAAGTGCCCGCTGTCACACATTTCACAGAAATTACATTATCAGCAGATAAAGGTTGTAAATCGTGGATCCGTGGAATATTTTCATGCCTAGTTTATCCTGATTCACACAACACACCCACTTATACATTTTGGATAGTAAGAGCACAATAAGTATTTTTTCAGCCTTTCAACCAACCTGTTTCTTTATTGGAGGCAGTTCTGTTCTGTCTCTGTGCCGTGTGAGCTCCTCAGAACATTAAACAGTGCGCTGACAGATTAGAAATAACGTAAGTACTTTGAATGGTAATAGATCTACAGTACTTTCCTCTGATTACTCACGTGCTACAACGCTCAGGGAATAAAAAAAAAACACTTGCTTCACGCTGGCTAACTTTAAAAAATTAAACAGTTGCTCAGTGCTTCAGTTTGGCGCTGAAGAAGACAGCCAATCACTGCAGAGAACGGAACGGGTCACGTGCTGCTGCTGCTGCTGTTGCTCTGGAGGCGAGGAGGAGGCGCGACGTATGCACAAACGGAAGACATGTGTCCCGGACCGTCCGGGTCACGGGACATCATGTCATTTTGGTGGGGACTTTTTAGTCCTCACCAAATATTGGTGGGGACATGTCCCCATGGTCCCCACGCAAACCTACGCCCTTGCTTAGACCTGCTTTAGTCCTGCTTTAGACCTGCTGTATACCTGCTGTAGACCTGCTTTAGTCCTGCTTTAGACCTGCTTTAGTCCTGCTTTAGTCCTGCTTTAGTAGTCCTGCTTTAGTCCTGCTTTAGACCTGCTTTAGACCTGCTTTAGACCTGCTTTAGTCCTGCTTTAGACCTGCTTTAGACCTGCTTTAGACCTGCTTTAGTCCTGCTTTAGAACTGCTTTAGTCCTGCTTTAGTCCTGCTTTAGTAGTCCTGCTTTAGTAGTCCTGCTTTAGTTCTGCTTTAGTCCTGCTTTAGTCCTGCTTTAGACCTGCTTTAGACCTGCTTTAGTCCTGCTTTAGTCCTGCTTTAGTCCTGCTTTAGACCTGCTTTAGACCTGCTTTAGGCCTGCTTTAGACCTGCTGTAGTCCTGCTTTAGACCTGCTTTAGTAGTCCTGCTTTAGACCTGCTTTAGTCCTGCTTTAGACCTCCTTTAGACCTGCTTTAGTCCTGCTTTAGCCCTGCTTTAGTAGTCCTGCTTTAGACCTGCTTTAGTCCTGCTTTAGACCTGCTTTAGACCTGCTTTAGTCCTGCTTTAGACCTGCTTTAGTCCTGCTTTAGACCTGCTTTAGACCTGCTTTAGTCCTGCTTTAAACCTACTTTAGACCTGCTTTAGTCCTGCTTTTGACCTGCTTTAGTCCTGCTTTAGTCCTGTTTTAGACCTGCTTTAGTCCTGCTTTAGACCTGCTTTAGACCTGCTTTAGTCCTGTTTTAGACCTGCTTTATGCCGCTTCTCCACAGTAACAGTATGGTACGGTGCGGCACGGTACGGCACGGCACAGCCGAGATCAGGTGTTTTTCCATTCAGCATGGGAGGGGTTGTCAGACCACGTCATTTACGCGAGACGTGTAACCAGTAACATTGGTGCGGTGAATGGATTTATCATAATATCGGTGATAGCTGCTATTAGTTCCAGGGGGCTCCTCTTACCCCTGTAGTACTGACTATTACCTCCAGGGGACTCTGCTTACCCCTGTAGTACTGACTATTACCTCCAGGGGGCTCTGCTTACCCCTGTAGTACTGACTATTACCTCCAGGGGACTCTGCTTACCCCTGTAGTACTGACTATTACCTCCAGGGGACTTCTCTTACCCCAGAAGAGGTGCAGAGGAGGGTCTGATGCGTCGCTTGTCATATGCCTAAACATTTATTTTGACCAAAAATAAATAAATCGTAACTTTTGAACCCCTTTTCTGCACGTGTACAGACAAATGAATGAAACAAAGTCTTGATACAATCACAGATTTATTAAAACAAAAGTAAAGTGCAAAACCAACAGTTTACAAAGTCCAAAGTAAGTCTGAGACCAGGTCCAGACCAGGTCCAGATGAGGAGAATGTGAAGTATTCCGGTCACTCATTGCTCGTTGGTAATTTCCACACTTATGGGAAGGGATTCTCAAACAAATATACACACAACAACTTAAGTACAAGCACAAAAACAGAGACACGTGAAAGACCAAAATATAGCACAGTAGCACAGGATGGACGTATTAGCTTAGCTTGCTATTGATAGCTAAATGTAGCTAGCTCACTGTGTCCAACTGACAATCACACTTTTACACTAGTAAATGCATTTCAGTGAGAGCTTTAACGGGATACGTAGCTAACAGTTATTTCAGGATTACCACAGACTGGTCACAAATCAAGAGCTGGACGATCTCCCTGAAAACCTCATTCCGTCAAGCTGCCTTTGAATTCTTTCTTCGGCATAAAACGAGAGTAACGTGTGGACCGACCGACCAGGACGCTGACTTTTGGGGCTTTCTGTGCGATTCCATTTCTCTGGAGTGACGAGTATGTTATTAAAATAGATCCATGGGAGGACGTATTGAAGCAGAGCAGTCGGCTGACGTCACGTTATGGTGTAGCTTCGGCCCGGACAGAACTACTGTTGAGGTGGTACAAAACAAGTACCCTTATCCCAAGCCCAACCCTAGTGGAAATAGGGAAAAATAACCGTGCTGTGCCTTACCTTAACGTACTGTTACTGTGGAAAAGCGGCATTAGTCCTCCCTGAAACCTCTCAAAACAATAATGACCGCTGCCCTTTGGCAACACACCCTCAATGCGTAGATTACTCCACAAGTAGTTCCGGCCACTTCGTCGCTAGCCACGCTCAATAAACGCAAATACCAATCAATAACACATTTAAATGTTATTGGGAGAATACATTATTCATATACATTCTTAATGCACGTGCCCGGAGGTTTTCAGAAGTATCTGTTAAGGTTTTCATGACAAAAATACTGTTTTAATGCGAGAAAAAGCGATCGCAAAAAACCCAGAAGTAGATACCGGCACATTTTAGGAACATGTGCAGAGGATGGAATTATGGATTTAGGTTAAGTTTATGTTTGGGTCACTCACCGCTGATGTTCAGAATTCAGTGTTCAGTTTTCATGCAGTTCCAGAGAGTTCTAGTTTGGGAGTTGCCAGCCTAACTGTTAGTAGCCTAACTGTTAGTAGCCTAACTGTTAGTAGCCTAACTGTTAGTAGCCTAACTGTTACTAGCCTAACTGTTACTAGCCTAACTGTTACTAGCCTAACTGTTACGCGTATAGCCACGGGAAAACCTTTGGGAACTATTATAATTTCTGTCATTAAATAAATCTTTCGGCATTCCTAAAAGTGGACTGAAGTTTATTTTGTGTGTTCTGTTGGTACAAAGCCGTATAATAAGCGGGATAATGTATATTACGCAAGTCATTATCGGAAATTAAGTACCTTCAGGGCAAAGAAGACCCCAATGTGCAGCAGAGGCTTTAATCTCAGCCTCACACTTTAATCTCAGCCTCATGTAGTTAATATATTTGCTGTGTCTTCAGGCTGGTACAACCGCCTGTTCATAAACTTCCTGCTGCGGAGACACATCTTCTTCTTCATGCTGCAGACGTACTTCCCCACAATGCTCATGGTGGTTCTGTCCTGGGTGTCCTTCTGGATCGACCGCCGCGCTGTGCCCGCCCGGGTCTCTCTGGGTACGAACCTGCAGAGAGCGTCTCTGCTCAATTTATTCTAATATGTGGATTGGGTGTCACAGCTGAGCTCTCTCTGGTCACTCTCTGGTCTCTCTCTCTGGTCACTCTCTGGTCACTCTCTGGTCTCTCTCTCTGGTCACTCTCTGGTCTCTCTCTGGTCTCTCTCTGGTCACTCTCTGGTCACTCTCTGGTCTCTCTCTCTGGTCTCTCTCTCTGGTCTCTCTCTGGTCTCTCTCTGGTCACTCTCTGGTCACTCTCTGGTCTCTCTCTGGTCTCTCTCTCTGGTCTCTCTCTCTGGTCTCTCTCTCTGGTCTCTCTCTCTCTGGTCTCTCTCTGGTCACTCTCTGGTCACTCTCTGGTCTCTCTCTCTGGTCTCTCTCTCTGGTCTCTCTCTGGTCTCTCTCTGGTCTCTCTCTCTGGTCTCTCTCTCTGGTCTGTCTCTGGTCTCTCTCTGGTCACTCTCTGGTCACTCTCTGGTCACTCTCTCTGGTCTCTCTCTGGTCTCTCTCTCTGGTCTCTCTCTCTGGTCTGTCTCTGGTCTCTCTCTGGTCACTCTCTGGTCACTCTCTGGTCTCTCTCTCTGGTCTCTCTCTCTGGTCTCTCTCTGGTCTCTCTCTGGTCTCTCTCTCTGGTCTCTCTCTCTGGTCTGTCTCTGGTCTCTCTCTGGTCTCTCTCTCTGGTCTGTCTCTCTCTGGTCTGTCTCTCTCTGGTCTGTCTCTCTCTGGTCACTCTCTCTGGTCTCTCTCTCTGGTCTCTCTCTGGTCTCTCTCTCTGGTCTCTCTCTCTGGTCTGTCTCTGGTCTCTCTCTGGTCACTCTCTGGTCACTCTCTGGTCACTCTCTGGTCACTCTCTGGTCACTCTCTCTGGTCTCTCTCTGGTCTGGTCTAACAAATGAGGTTCTGTACGGTCGTCATAAACTCTGTCTCTGTTTAAAGCTATTTATTTTCCATTTGTTTCTTAAACTCCTGTTAAACTGTTTTCTGAAGATCACCTTTTTGTGTCACAGGAATCACCACAGTCCTCACTATGTCCACCATCATCACCGGAGTGTCCTCCTCCATGCCCCAGGTCTGAGTACTATACTACTACTACTACTGCTACTGCTACTGCTACTGCTACTACTACTACTACTACTGCTGCTACTACTACTACTACTGCTGCTACAGCTGCTACTACTACTACTACTCCTATTACTTCTACTACTGTGGATACTGCTATTACTACCAAAGATTATATATAGTACTTTTCTACTACTACTACTTCTACTGCTGCTACTTCATGGGGGGTACCAGACCCTGCCCTCAGGACGCTGTGAGACACAGGACAAACCAACTTCAGTGACACTTTGAAACAAAAATAACAATAATGAATGCACCCTAAAACTGTATGAACTATGTTTTTTATTATCATTATCATTATTTCTTATTCAGCATCTATTATTTTTATGTTAATGTTGAATTGACCAAACAGCAGTGTTGGGCACGTTACTTTGAAAAAGTAATTAGTTATAGTTACTAGTTACTTCTCCCAAAAAGTAACTGAGTTACTAACGGAGTTACTCCGCTATAAAAGTAACTAGTTACCAGTAAAAGTAACTATTGCGTTACTTTTTCGTTTTGTTCTGGAACATAATGTGCACTCGACGTGCGCATTTTTACCTTTAACCTTTAACTTCAGTGAGTCTGAAATAGTGCCAATATTTCCATCTAGAAAAGGCTGTTTTGCTGCTGAAGTCCTGTTCACTCTTCATCTCTCTCTGTGCTGTAAGCACTAAACACCAACACGCTCCACTGTGAATGTGGAAACACCGGTGAAGCACTGACTTCAGACCAATCAGATGAACATATACATCATATAAATCAAGTGGACAATTTGTTTGGCTACAGCAAAATATGTTTCATGGCCGCATTGTTTGTTCATACAAAACGCAAAACTATGAGTTATGGGTCTTACCTTATAGCTATACCTTATAAATGACCTGCACAGTCCACTTCAGTTCAGACCAGTTCTGTGTTTAAGTCCAGATAATAGTTTGAGCGTAGATATGTAATCCTCCATTTGGAAATGAGTTTTACAAAGTAAAACAAAACGCGTGTGTCCTAGGTGCAGCCGGGTGCCTCCAATTTCTAAAATCAACTGTCTTACACTTCACCTCTCTTTCTTATCATTCCTATAGTAATTGAAAAATTACCGTAAGTGCATTTTAAATTATCTTAAAATGTGTTATATGTATGTTAGCCAAACTTGTTGCAGCCCTTAGCAGATAAACCAGGAAGAGAAAGGAGCTTTCTGATGGAATTGTATGCAGCCGACTTCTGCGCTCACATGCGCTCCTCTGAGCCCTCACGGTGATAGAAGCTGTGGTTGAGCGCGACTAAGACCCATATTTGTTTCAAAAACACAATTTATGACCATCCTCTCAACTGTAAACATGTAGATTGTAAAGGAAATATGATTTACATCAGCCAATAATTGCTGAGAGGTTTTCTCATCCTCCCTTCTCTCATGACAACACGCGCACGAGTCCTATCACGAAGTAAAAAGAGAAGTTCATTGTGCGTCTTTAGAAGCGCAGTAACAGGATGTCGGAAATGATAACGGCGTTATAGTTACAGTCAAAGTAATTAGTTAGATTACTCGTTACTGAAAAAAGTAACGCCGTTATTCACATCACTGCCAAACAGAGACTTCAAAGCACTACTGCACTTTGCTGTAATCTTCCTTTTTATTTGGTTCATTCATGCAGGTCTGTGTAGCACTGTATCTACTGCACATTTCCCTTGCAACAATAACTTTTATCTTAATTTATATTGCTGCGTCTTTGGGAGCCCAAAAAACATAGGACTGGTCCTTAAAGCTGATGTCCCTAACTTTAACAGTTGTTTCTATTCCTCTCTGTGCATGCCCATATTTGGTGTGTTCCACCTGTGCAGGTGTCTTATGTGAAAGCTGTGGACGTATATCTGTGGGTCAGCTTCCTCTTCGTCTTTCTGTCTGTGATCGAATATGCAGCCGTCAACTACTGCACCACACTGGAGGAGTGGAGGAAGATGAAGAAGGGGAAGGTGCTGCTACTGCTACTGCTGCTACTGCTACTGCTACTGCTGCTACTGCTACTGCTACTGCTGCTACTGCTACTGCTGCTGCTGCTACTACTTCTACTGCTGATACTACTGCTGCTACTGCTACTGCTGTGGCTACTGCTGCTGCTGCTTACAGTTATAATACATATGATTATGAATATTTTGCTCATTGTTAGCTGCTGCTTTGTCCTTGTGTCTGATCGTAAATAAAACAATAGAGCATCTCTGGGCTGTGCCACATCAGAACAAAACAGCAGCGCCCTCTAGTGGAGCCTCTTTAACAACACACGTGACATTTTTGAGTACATACTGGTTATGTCAGCAATTTCTCACTTAAAGCTCAAGTATGTAACTTTTAAACTGCAACAATGGCTCAATCTATTGGCTAACCCTAACCCTGGCTCTAAAACAGTTGCTTCTCTCACTAGTCACATGTACTTTTGGCCTCTGTCACATCTTTAGATCTGCTTTTGCATTCAGAAAAGTGTCAAAGAGTGGACCACCATCACTCAGCCAATCTCTCAGCCCAAAGAATCAAATTGTGACTCACAGGGCTCTATTGTTCATCTATATACGTTGTATGAAGCAAGCCTGATGTATTATGTTGTGTTATAATAGTAATAAACTGACCTCTTGCCACAGCTGCCCTCTGGGTACGATGCGAGCCAGGCCATGGCGTTCGACGGCTGTTTCCACGACAACGACATGGAACTGACCCCGTTCCCCAGGCTCCCCGTGGGAATGACCTCCACCACCCTACCGTCTCCTGCACACAGCCCGTCCCTGAGGGACCCCAGGGAGCAGCCGGAGGGCACACGGCTCCGGAGACAGCGCTCTGTCAAAGAGAACGTGGACCACATCGTCAGCAACAGCTATCTGATTGACTCATACTCACGGCTGGCCTTCCCACTGTCATACCTGCTGTTCAACATCATCTACTGGAGCCTCTACTCGTCTTGAGGGCCCACCACGGGCCCACTAGGGGCCCACCAGGTGCAGGACTGAGCAGAGATGCATGTGCTATGGTTTACATGCTTCACAGATGTCTAAACTGTGATAGTGCTCTGAGCTTGGACTATGCGCAGCTGAAATGGGAAATGTATGCACACATAATTGTTTACATGCTGAAGATGTAACCAGAAGTGAAGCTGCTCTGAACGTGGACTACGAGAGGTTAGAACTATCCATAAACTATGATCCCGTATGTGTGAACGTGGACTACGACGGGTTGGAATGGAAAAGATATGCACATATAATCGTTTACAAGCCTCAAAGATTAAGAAACTGTGTGAAACTGCTTTAAAGCTGAAAAAAATAACAAACATAAATAAGTTAGGTACCCTAACTTATTTTTGTAAATAATGCATGTTGTTTGAAAGAGAATTGTAATTGTAAAATGCTGTGAAATAATTAGACCACGACAAACCAGGCTCACAGACCAAAGATGTATGTCGGTTTTGAACAAATCTCTGCGTGTGAGTGCGGGCCTGCATCAGCGAAGCCAATATTATGTTTACACAAGCCCTACTCTACTCTACTCTACATGACTATACTCTGCTAAACTCTACTCAACTCTACTCTATTCTACATTACTATACTCTGCTAAACTCTACTCTATTCTACATTACTATACTCTGCTAAACTATACTCAACTCTATACTACATTTCTATACTCTGCTAAACTCTACTCTACATGACTATACTCTGCTAAACTCTACTCTACTCTACATTACTATTCTCTGCTAAACTCTACTCTACATTACTATACTCTGCTAAACTCTACTCTACTCTACTCAACTCTACATTAATATACTCTGCTAAACTCTACTCTACATTACTATACTCTTCCAAACTATACTCTACGCTACATGACTAAACTCTACTCAACTCTACTCTACATTACTAAACTATGCTAAACTCTACTCTACATGACTATACTCTGCTAAACTATACTCAACTCTACTCTACATTTCTATACTCTGCTAAACTCTACTCTACTCTACATGACTATACTCTGATAAACTCTACTCTACTCTACATTACTATACTCTGCTAAACTCTACTATACTCTGCTAAACTCTACTCTACTCTACATTACTATAGTCTGCTAAACTCTATTCAACTCTACCCTACTCTACATTACTATACTCTGCTTAAATCTACTCTACATTACTATACTCTTCTCTACCTGGTTGCGTTCCGTCGATGTGTCCGATCAATTTACCCACAATGAACCTGTATTCAGGAAGCAGAACTCTGGCCAATCACTGTCAGTTATAACACTTTAGTACCAGCTCAGCCTGGATTGAACCAAGACAAAGAGGGACTGAAGAAGGACCTGGTACTGGTTACACAGGACCAGTGGTGTAGAGTAGAGTAGAGTAGGGCTGGTGGAAACTTGTTTGGAAGTATAATTTGTGTCTTGTGTCACTGTTGTGCTCTTGACAGAGGTCTATGTGTGTTTTTGTTGATATGAAACAATAAAATCTAATCCTGTGCCAGTATCTTACTAAATTCATTGTGTGGGAAATACTGTAGATATGTTGAAATAATAATTTATTATGTTAATGAGACTATTTACTATGTAATTTTGTCTTTGAGTGTCCAAAAAAGCGCTATATAAGTTTGATGCATTATTATTATTCATTTTAAAGTGATTTTGGGCTTGAATTTGAAGTGTGATATAAAACACATTCCTCTCACATCTCTATTTCATCCAATCACGTAACTACTTCAGACTCTGAACAAATTAAGTCATCATTTGTTATATGCAACTCCTGTCCTTTCCGCCTTGTTAACTGATGCCAGGTCTGATATTTGAAGTCTGTTTGGCCTGGCACACACGACCCTTTGATACAGACTTGTCCCTTTAGACATTTCCCATCTATCTACCCAGACAGATGAGAAACAGACAGATTACTTGTGTTGTGTTTGAATCAAAAGGGGACTATTTATTAATAGCTTGCTTTTTATCCATCCATCCATTTTCTACCCTTTAATCCATTTCTGGGTCAGGGGGTGGCAGTCAGAGATGCCACCCAAGTCTCATAGCACCAGCCCCTCACTGACCCTCTGCAGGTGGTGAGTCCACAGGAGGACGGCTGCTCTCTGAGTGTGAGCATAGCCTTGATCTTTCAGTGGGGGCTTTAGGCAAAGTGGGGTTAAGTGTCTTGCCCAAGGACACAACGACAGCAGACATCAGTGGGAGTCGGTGGAGAAGATGTCAAGGTGGGAAATGAACCCACAACCTTCAGGCCTGAAGGCCAATGCTCTACCAACTGAGCTACTGTCGCTACTGTAGCTTGCTCTTTAGTTTATGCTAATAAACAATAATAGTCAGATGTCTACCAGATGTGTACCCTCTCTCTCTCTCGCTATTATACAATACATAGTATTTGTAGGGTTAATAAGTATATATATATAGAGAGAGATCTGGTAGACATCTCTACCATATATATATATATATATATATATATATATATATATATATATATATATATATATATATATATAATTATTAATTTATTATTAATCATTTATTACTAATACATTTAATTAACAATTTATACACTTTCACTTCGGTTTCCACGGTCACCACTCAGACCCATGCTACTTGCTTTGAGGCAGAAGTAGCCCTGTGGTTTTCCTCCACATATGACCCGCTTATGACCCGCTTATGACGAAGGAAGGCGATGACAGGTGAGCACTGCGCCAAACCAGCCCTCACACTGCGCCAAAAGTGCACAAAACAGCGCTAATGTGTATTCTTACAGTCTGGTTTATTCCGACTGACGGCGAGAGCACGTGCGGCAGTTAGGTTAGCATCATGTAGGCTAACGTTAGGTTAGCATCATGTAGGCTAACGTTAGGTTAGCATCATGTAGGCTAACGTTAGGTTAGCATCATGTAGGCTAACGTTAGGTTAGCATCATGTAGGCTAACGTTAGGTTAGCATCATGTAGGCTAACGTTAGGTTAGCATCATGTAGGCTAACGTTAGGTTAGCATCATGTAGGCTAACGTTAGGTTAGCATCATGTAGGCTAACGTTAGGTTAGCATCATGTAGGCTAACGTTAGGTTAGCATCATGTAGGCTAACGTTAGGTTAGCATCATGTAGGCTAACGTTAGGTTAGCATCATGTAGGCTAACGTTAGGTTAGCATCACGAAGGTTAGCCTAACGTTCAGAACAGCGGATTTTCAACTCAGACAACAAACTATCCTGTGTTATTGATTGAAGGTGGTTAAAGACATCAATTTAAATTAAAATGTGTTATAGATATCTATTGTTCTACTGATTACATGGATGAAATGTGTTTTTATGAAGCTGTCTGTCCAACGTCATTAGCAGGTAATAACAACGGCAACGGCAACAGCGAGCTTTAGCTCGTTAGGCCTAGCATTAGCTATTTGTTTTATCATTTAAGTACATGCTGCTTGTCCAACAGAAAGTAGTTAAATTAACCTTTTGGGGGAAGTCGGTCTTAATCTGCGTACCTTTGTATTACTGTGTATATTATGGTAATATATATTATATTGTGATTTAATTATCTTGTGCAGTGTAGTGTGTACTCCTTCAGACTCTTGACTGGTCATATGTTGTGCGCAGATCTACAGGGATCCACAGAGACTCAGCAAGTACTGGTGCCCTACTACTACTACTACCCCTACCAGGTAATACTATTACTACTATTACTACAGCTGCTACTGGCTACTACTGCCATCTCTACGATTGCAGATACTAATACTACTGATTCTGTTTCTTGTTCTACTCCGACTGCTACTATGAATACTTCTGATACTAGTGCTACTAAGCATCACTTTGCTACTCTACGTTTTACGTTATAACTCGGTTCTGACGAACGGCGTTAAAAATCGTGTGTGAAACACAGAACAGTATACGGTAGCGTGGCCGAGCGGTCTAAGGCGCTGGATTAAGGCTCCAGTCTCTTCGGGGGCGTGGGTTCGAATCCCACCGCTGCCATTAAAATTTTGTTTCTGAACTACATGTACAAGACAAAAAAGAAAGATTAGTTAGACTGAACATTTTGAGCTTTATTAGTAAAACAAGAATACATTTTTGATAAATTATTTTATGGGAATGTATCTAAATAAGTCTTACATTCAGTCTCTGCGGAAGCTTTGTTTCTATTATATTATGCCATTGATGGGTTTAAGAAGAGAAACAATATGTTGCATGTAGGTCAAAGCATTCACAATCAAAACAAAATGCACATTTGCATTGTGAAAATGTCCAGAAGCATTTAGGTTTCATTGGACAATGGAGTCTCTAAATTACAACAGTTCTACAGTCATTCCAAAGACAGGATATTGTGTTGTGTGTAGCTGCAGTGCTCAGACAGTGGGGGGTGCTGGTGCTCAAAGCATGGAGAGTTTTGGGAGTTTTCAAACAAAGGATGAGAGTTTGAAAGGAGGAGGGACAGAGGCTGTAAGCTGCTCTCTGATTGGCTCAGAACTCAGCCTAACTAGGGCTGTGGAGAGGGGCTAAGCGGGGGAGGTTGTGAGTGGCAGGGACATGTGAGCTTAGGGTTATTCTCGTCTGAGGGGAGAAGGGGGGTCTGTCCATGTGCTGCTCTCACACTGGAGCTGCCCACGCGCTCCACTGCTCAGTCTGTTCTGTGCCCACCGCAGGCCCCTCACCATGGGCTGCTGTTACAGTAAAGAGCTACAGCCCCCCGACGAGACGAGCGGCCTGCTGAACACCCCCGAGCCCATCACCCAGGACCGACTGAAGCAGAGCGCGCTGGGAATCCTCCAACACGCGGACCGCATCATCACCACGCCAACGAAACATCAGCCCCAACCCAACGGGAGTGCTCAGCAGGCTATTCTTATCTCCACCGGCCCCTCCAAAGACAGCCACAGTAACAGCAAACTCAACACAGCACCGACTGCTTCTGCGGCAACAAGTGCCGGAGTGGAGGATCCTACAGAACAAGCAAGTAAGGACACATCTATCAAAGACCCTCACTGCTATTTGAATACAGGACAAACTTCCACTCGTCCAGAAGTAGAGGATCCTACAGAGATCCCTAAGGATACGTTTTATATCCTTTCCCAAGAGACATTCATTAAAGACAGTGAAATAAATCTCAATAAAGGATTATTTACTACTTTTTCAGCTACTCCTGAGGTTTTGAATCTAACCAACCGACTGAGTAAGGAGACATCCACTGTTCTCTCACAAGACAGTTTTACTCACAGAAAGTTCAATACAGGACTAACAGCCACTTTCTCCACGAGTCCAGAAGTACAGAGTTCAACAGAACCAACTAGTAAGGGCATATATACCATCATATACCAGGAGACACTTGCCAAAGACCCACGGAGAACAACGGACAGCTCTTCTAACACTCCTGTGCTGCGGTGTGAGAGTGTGGTCCCACAGGAAAGTCCTCGGCCGCATGGTGAGGTGTGCGCTGTGACCGCTGCGCTCGGAGAGGGCTTTGAAAAGAGAACACAGACGTTCTACAGCCTCTGCTCCATTGACGCAGACGAACTGGACCCAGACTGTCCATTCAAATCCTCTGAAAAACACGCTCTTCTTCTCAAAGGTGAAACGTTTGAATCTATAATTGATCAAAGTGAACACTTGGCAGAAGGTCGAGATAAGAGCATCACTAGTGAACTGAACAAAGACGATTTTATAGCACAAGGTCCTCCCCCCAAGCAGAGGCATCTACAATCACTTTCAGAAACATACTTTTGCACTCACAGTAACAGCAATGGTAAACTTGGGTGTCAAAACATAAAGGAAAAAAAGCTGAGGGACGCAAAGACAGCAGCAGACCAAATTAATGGAGATGAAAAGGAGTTGAATCCAGTGCAAAACAGTCTGACTGAGCAGGAGCAGACAGAGGCAAAGCTATCAGCAGACGGGGAAGTTCCAGGTTTGAATAGTTCTAAAACAGTTCATAACAGTGAGAGGTTAGAGATTTATCCTGAAATACAGCAGTGTGCTTTCAGCGAGGCCAGTTTTATCCACCCAGATAAGAAAGATGTAGAGAGGTTCGTGGATTGTTCAGGTTGCAGACATCACAGTGAACCAGTGGCACACGCAGTAGAACATACAGCAGAGAGTTCAGAGCTGAAAATCCTCCACACAAGTCAAACTAATGTGCTCCCAACTGCATGTGATTACATTATTCATAAAGCAGTGGAGACAGAGTCAAACCACAGCTGCAGCACTCCCAGCTTTAATAGCTGTAAACAGGATGTTACAGAATTATGCGACAGGTTAGCCTCTCCTTTTGTTCAGAAGGAGTTAGACGTAGTGTCATCGTATTTAACACTGCTCAGTACTGAACACACAGGAAAAGGCTCAAGGGAGGAGCTGGGCCAGTGCAGTTCAGAAGGTAGTGAGGGGGGTTTACAGGCCGCACCTGTGGACCAAACTGTCCCTGAGCCCATGCAGAAGGAGTTGGAGCATTCAGGAGACAACAGGGATGTGGAGTCCTGTGATCTGGCAGAACTCACAAATGTAGACAAACCTCAAACAGAGACATCACCCAAAGAGCGGGCAGAAAACAGACACTCCGACACAGCCTCAGATTCTGATGCGGCGAAAGTGAGCAATGAGGAAAATGTACAGGCAGCTTTCGTAGAAAGAAATACAGCGAACATGGAGACAGGAGATAAAAGTGATGCTAGACTGTCAACAACACAGATCAAAGAATCTTTAGTGGAGCCACAAGATGCATTAGAAACAACTTTATCTCATGATTTGGCAGATGTTTTCTACTTAGAGACAGTGATAGAAAAGGACTCTGCTCTGTCGACACAAGAAAAAGACACGAAAGGTCACGAGTTAGATTCAGGTATTGAAAGTTCCCCGCAGAATCTGAATGTTTCCGTCCAAGCCTCACAGGAGATAAAGACCACGCAAGAAATGACAACAGAGCAGGAGTCAAAAACATACAGTCATGATTCCACAGATGAGGAGCCGCTTCTGAATACAGATGTGAAGATCAGAGAGGTGGAGGTCCCAGAGGTGGAGGTCCCAGAGGTGGAGGTCCCAGAGGTGGTGGTCCCAGAGGTGGAGGTTCCAGAGGTGGTGGTTCCAGAGGTGGTGGTTCCAGAGGTGGTGGTTCCAGAGGTGGAGGTCCCAGAGGTGGTGGTCTCAGAGGTGGAGGTTCCAGAGGTGGTGGTCCCAGAGGTGGAGGTCTCAGAGGCGATTGTCCCAGAGGTGGTGGTCTCAGAGGTGGAGTTTCCAGAGGTGGAAGTTGCAAAGGTGGAGGTCTCAGAGGTGGTGGTCCCAGAGGTGGAGGTCTCAGAGGTGGTGGTCCCAGAGGTGGAGGTCTCACAGGTGGTTGTTCCAGAGGTGGAGGTCTCAGAGGTGGTGGTCCCAGAGGTGGAGGTCTCACAGGTGGTTGTTCCAGAGGTGGAAGTCTCAGAGGTGGTGGTCCCAGAGGTGGTGGTCTCAGAGGTGGTGGTTCCAGAGGTGGAGGTCTCAGAGGTGGTGGTTTCAGAGGTGGAGGTCTCAGAGGTGGAGGTCTCAGAGGTAGAGGTTCCAGAGGTGGAGGTTCCAGAGGTGGAGGTTCCAGAGGTGGAGGTTCCAGAGGTGGAGGTTCCAGAGGTGGAGGTCTCAGAGGTGGAAGTGGCAGAGGTGGACCCAGGGCAGATTGACGTCCATGCCTCTACTCCTTCCTATGAGATACACTGTGTGGGGGCCTCCACAGCGCCCCCGGAGGAGGAGTGTGGGATGAGGCACATGGTCTCAGAGCTGCTGGGGGATGAGGAGCACTCCCCTCTGTGTCAGCTTTACCCACACACATGGATCAAACTGGGGCTGGAACAGAACAGTGGGGGCTGGGCACAGGGGCTGACCTCACCCCATACCCCACACTTCAGCCCCCAGCCTGGGCCTCTTGCAGAGCTCCTCCCTGCCTCTGTGATGGAGCTCCAGCCCTCCATGGCTCTGCTTGGGGCCTTTCCCTACAGCACGGTGACCCCACAGGGAGGCTGCATCTGGGACTGGCACACGGGGAACGTAAGTCTCACGTGGGCTCTTCTTTCTCCTGTCTAACCTGAGTCTGTGATAATACATTAGGGCTGCATGCCTTACAGTCACATTTGCTGTTTATGAACCAAAGTTTGCTCACTCTGTCAAATGTAACGTGATAATGTAATGCTCTCAGGGGCCAGTGCCTAAAACCACCCTGAATCCTGAGGCCAAGGCTTGGGCTGGAGCCAGTTTCACCTTCCACACTGACCTACCGGAGCTACAGTGGGACCAGTACAGCACAGTCCTGCCCCAGCACAACGGTGAGGGCAGGAGCCACACACTTCACTCACTCACAGTTAGACATTATCAAGACAAATATGATGCATTACAGTGGTCCCTCACTATAACGTGGTTCCCGTTCTCGGGCATCAATACACATTTTTGTGTGGGCACTTATGCATGTCCCTCAGTGTGTTTTTTTCTGCAGCTTTACAGTGTATGCAAGGCTTTTCACAGCTGCAGCAGCACTTCAGCAGTCGTGAGTTCAGGTGGTTAGAAAAGTGTTTAAAGTGTGTGAGGGCTTTTACAGCTGCTACTTCAAAGATTTCACTTATTGTGAGTTATTTTAATAATGTAACCCTGCGATAAACCAGGGATCACTGTACCTGTGTTCATTTCTGTCTTCAAAGTATATGATGAGAATCATAAAATTGATAATAGATACATGTCTATCACATTCAAAGCCTGGTTGTGTTCAGGTTTGGCTCCGGACATGTGCCTGGACCCTATGGGGCTGTGTGAGGCCGTTTATGACCCTTCTCTTCAGATGGAGGCCTTCTGTTCAGAGACATCAGTGAACAGAGAGGCTGTAGCTCCGCCCCCTAAGCTGGCCCCACCCACTGTCTCAGGTAAACACTGATACACTGGCGGCAGTGTTTTTTGGGTCTCGGCACACTGAAACCCCTGTCCTGCGCACAAAATACAAATACGGCTAATCAACGTGATTGATCGCATATTTCTACACGTAGGATGTTTGTCTGTGTAATGCCAGTGTCTCAGTCACATCTGCTGCGGTGGCGGTGCTGCAGCATACACACGTGTATGATGAGATTTGGGGCGACAATAGCTCAGTTGGTAGAGCATTGGCCTTGTAAAGTGCCAAACTGCTGTTGTGTCCTTAGGCAAGACACTGCATCCATTGCCTAGAATGAGTCAGGTGTGAATGGTTGGTGGTGGTTGGAGGGGCCGATGGCACATACTGTTTGCCTCGCTTCTGTCAGTGTGCCCCAAGGCAGCTGTGGCTACAGCTACAGTAGTAGTTTATTGCCACCGTGTATGGAGTGAATGAATAATGACATGTGAAGCGTCTTGAGTGTCTAAAAAAGCGCTGTATGAAATTGATGCATTTTTATTTGAACGGTTTTGGCGCTCAGGCAGTTGTTTTTTTCTCAGAGTCAAACCCATGAAAAATTACAGGGAACATTGACTGGAGGTACTGTTCTTGTTAGTCATATGGTAAGATTATCACTGATATCCCTCCTGATGCACCTCCTGATGTTTCTCCTGCTCCAGATGCAGTCAGAGAGCAGTTACAGAGTGTCCTGGAGTCCTGCCTCACCAGGTACAGATCACGCTCCTCTCTCTCCTCTCTTCTCTCCTTCCTCTTTCTCCTCTCTTCGCTCTCTCTTCTCTCCTCTTTCCTCTCCTCTCTCTCCTCTTTCCTCTCTCTCCTCTCTCTCCTCTCCTCTCTCTCCTCTCCTCTCATCTCTCTCTCCTCTCCTCTCCTCTCCTCTCCTCTCTCTCCTCTCTCTCCTCTCCTCTCTCTCCTCTCCTCTCTCTCCTCTCCTCTCTCTCTCCTCTCCTCTCCTCTCTCTCCTCTCTCTCCTCTCTCTCCTCTCTCCTCTCTCCTCTCTCTCCTCTCCTCTCTCCTCTCACTCCCTCACTTTTCTCCCTCCCCACAGGGAGCACCTGAGTAATGACCTGTACCTGAAGTCTCAGATGGACAGTGACCAGTACCTTCCCATCTCCACTCTGATCAGTCTGGACAAAGTCAAATGTGTTAGTACTGACGTGGAACTGATCGCCGACATCCTCAAGTGTAAATATATCTGCATTATCATGAATATGATGTGATTACAGCTCAATCTAAGTGTGTGTGCGTGTTTGTGTCTGTGTGTGTGCTCTCCTCAGCCTTGCCACTGGTGCAGGTCGCCCCCTGTGGGCAGAAGTTCAGACCTCAGCAGAGCAGATGTGTGGTCATCCTCAGGGAGATCCCTCAGAGCACTGCAGTAGAGGTACAACACTGAGCACCACATGTGTGTGAAACCATGAGAGGATGAGGAGGTGATATGCTCTGTGCTCTGCAGGAGGTGCAGGCGCTCTTCAACACTGACAAACTTCCCAAGTTTCAGAGCTGTGAGTTTGTGAGCAACGACAACTGGTTTGTGACATTTGAGTCTGAGGCCGACGCTGAACAGGTGATGGTGACACTCATGATCTCTGATTCTATATGTTTGGTGTTTATTGCTAATGTAGGCGTGAGGGGACAGAGAAAATGATGCAAAATGTTCCTCTTGATCAGGGTTGGACTAAGGGACAGGGTTTTAGTCTTTCTGCCACATACTGTATCATGTCTGCCTCAGGCGTACCGGTACCTGCGAGAGGAGGTGCAAGAGTTCCAGGGGAAGCCTCTCATGGTGCGGATAAAAGCCAAAACTATGGCAGTCATGAGCTACGGCCCCAAACCCAACGGTTTCAGATGTGTTCCTAAGGAAACCTGCCTCGAACCCTACTCCTACTACCCCCAGGACTGCTCCGAGCTGCCCCAGCAACTGTACGACTGCACGAGCACCGTGTGGACCACCTCAGAGCTGGGTTATCAGGACAGACAGGTACTGACACACAGACAGGTACTGACACAGACAGGTTCTGACACACTGACACAGACAGGTACTGACACAGACAGACACTGACACAGACAGACACTGAAACAGACATGTACTGACAGGTCTGGCCTCAGGTCCGGCCTACCTCAGTTTCCTGTTAGACGCAGACAGAACAGGGTGGGAATGTTACATCCAGAGTGACTTTGTGTTTGCAGATATCATCAGACCTGTTGCATGATTTTGTGAATGGAGCTTCAGCGGCAGCCATCTTTAGACCGTTTAACTCCTACAAACAGAGGTGAGAGTTTCATGTGTGCCCATGTCCAGACACGTCTCAGACTGTAAGGCTCCCTCTCCACTGGTCTCATTGTGAATATACTTGGACTGAAAGCTGTGCATGTGAAGCTTGTTTGTTGAGACCTGGTTTAGACCAGTTCTGGTTCAGAGTTTCTGGACCATGGACCATAGACGCCTTAACGTCATAAAGTGACCATGGAACATAGACGCCTTAACGTCATATAGTGACCATGGACCATAGACGCCTTAACGTCATAAAGTGACCATGGACCATAGACGCCTTAACGTCATATAGCAGGGGTGGCCAACCCGCGGCTCGTGAGCCGCATGCGGCTCTTTGGCTGGTTCCGTGCGGCTCTCGGGCTTTCACTCGACAAGCGTCAAAAACGCCTCGGTGGTGGCGCTGCCTTTCATTCCATATGTAGTTCTGACCAATAGTAAAGGCCGACTTCACTCCACTAGCCAGGCCGCCAAAACAATCTGACGTCGGCGAACGTCAATTCTGATTGGTCAGATGCGCTGTCAATCACTCTGCAGCTGTAGCAAATATCATAACAAACAACACGTTGCCTCGAACCATGACGTCCGTACGGAAAACAATTCCTTGGTCGCTGGATGAGGGCAACACCTTCCTCAGTTTGAGGAGAGGACACCAGCCTGATCTCGCTGGTTCCACCAGAAACCAGAAGGTGTTTGTGGAGCTAGCACTAAGGACGGAGCAGAATGATTCCCACAAACATGACAATGCAGAGAAAAGTTAAAAAGCTTAAAAGTGACAACCGTGAAATGAAAGATCACAGCAGCAGAAGTAGAGGCAGACCCGAAAAGTCTGGAGGTGGTTTGACCAAATGGATTACATTTACGGACACCGGCTAACACCGGCTAACATGCTAAAACCAGCTAACACCAGCTACACCAGGAGATAAGCCAACTCTGCCTGGTGAGTGTCTGTCTTCAATCAAATGCAAAAGTATCTGGTCTTATACTGAGCATGTGTCTGTGGTTCTAAATCAGCTAAAGTGGTGTTGGTGTTATGTGTCAAATCTATATCTTTTACTAAAGACAGTTGTGTTTCTGCTGAACACTGGGTTGAAACTTGATTTTTTTTTCTTGGTTAGAGATTGAAAGCATTCATTTCGGAATCATAATTGATGTTCGCTGACGTGAAATTGTTCTGGTATCGACTCGCCCGGTTAGAACCAGGGCCAAACCATTAATAAAAAGTACCGGGGAGCGGTTGAAGCGAGCGGTGGAAGCGCCCGCAAACCAGGGAGAGTCGAGTCCAGCCCTTTAGTACTGTACGAGTCAATTTCTGTCATTATCATGTTGATGACATTTACAATAAATCTGTCTGAGCAGAGCACACCTCTCTCTGCTCAGACAGATTGCATGTGTGTGCGCGTGTCTGCTCGTGTGCGTACGTGCGCGTGTGCGTGCGTGTGTAAGGGTTGGGGTGATGTTTATGTAGTGCACATTTGTATGATGTGGCTCTTTGCTGTAACACAGTAAAAAAAATTGGCTCTTAGTCTCTGACTGGTTGGCCACCCCTGTCATATAGTGACCATGGACCATAGACGCCTTAACGTCCTAAAGTCACCATGGACCATAGACGCCTTAATGTCACAAAGTGACCATGGACCATAGACGCCTTAACGTCATATAGTGACCATGGACCATAGACGCCTTAACGTCATAAAGTCACCATGGACCATAGACGCATTAACATCATAAAGTGACCATGGACCATAGACGCCTTAACGTCATAAAGTGACCATGGACCATAGACGCCTTAACGTCATAAAGTGACCATGGACCATAGACGCCTTACCGTCATAAAGTGACCATGGACCATAGACGCCTTAACGTCATAAAGTGACCATGGACCATAGACGCCTTACCGTCATAAAGTGACCATGGACCATAGACGCCTTAACGTCATAAAGTGACCATGGACCATAGACGCCTTACCGTCATAAAGTTACCATGGACCATAGACGCCTTAACATCATAAAGTGAGCATGGACCATAGACGCCTTAACGTCATAAAGTGAGCATGGACCATAGACGCCTTAACATCATAAAGTGAGCATGGACCATAGACGCCTTAACATCATAAAGTGAGCATGGACCATAGACGCCTTAACATCATAAAGTGAGCATGGACCATAGACGCCTTAACGTCATAAAGTCAACGGGACCATAGACTCTGTCAAGGAGGCAAAAATGCCCGGGCCGTTTATTGCACATGATTTTAGTGGTAGGGGAAACCAGAGAACCCGCAGGAGACCTACGCAGACACGGGGAGAACATGCAAACTCCACTCAGAAAGGTCCTGTTCCGACCATGATTCGCACTCAGGACCTTCTTGCTGAGAAGCAAAAGTGCTAACCACTTTTTCACTACCATTTTGCATTTTTTATTTATTTCAGTGGCTCTTTGTAGCTTAAGCATATCCATAAACAAATGTGTATAACGGATATACTATTTTCTATAAATTTCATTCCCTTGCATTTAAAACATGGGTGAAAAAAGAGTACCACATCTTTTTTGGGCCACTTAAAGCTCTGAATGGAAGGAAAGTGCTCGAGGGCTGTGTGCAATAGATGTGGACATGTGCAACAGTTTTTGTTTTTAAAAATGTATTGGTGTGCGCTGTGTGTGTGTGAAATCCTGTTTTTGATGCTTTTATCGGTTGTATTTTCATCAGTAACAATGATGAATCCTCTTATAGACCAGAGATACAAAATGTGGTTCAGTGGAGTAAAACTAACAACCTCCAGCTGAACGCATCGAAAACATGTGAACTGGTCTACAACTTCAGTCGCAATAGTTCTCATTTGCCTGTCGTAATCGACAACTCCCAGGTGCAGATCGTAGAGGAGTGCAAGTTTCTGGGTTTAACTCTGTCTAACCTGAAATGGGTTAAAAACACTGACCGAGTCGTTAAGAAAGCTCGTCAGCGTCTCTACTTTCTGCGTGAACTTAGAGAATTTACCACTAACTCTAAGATTCTGCTTAACTTTTATCGCTGCACCATTGAGAGTTTACTTGTTGGTTCTGTGTCTGTGGTTTGGAAACATCACAGATAAAGAAAAGAGAGCTTTAAACAAGGTGCTCCGCTCTGCAAAGAGGACCGTGGGCTGTGAGCTTCCTGTTCTGGAGGTTCTTTATAAATCCAGACTTTTAAACAAAGCTCTTAGGATTGTTAATGACTCTTCTGGCCACCCTGGGAAAGCCATGTTCCAGCTTCTTCCCTCTGGCAGAAGATATCGCTCTCTGAGATGCAGGACATCTCGTTACGCTAACAGTTTTTATCCACAAGCTGTTATCAGTGTGAACAGAGCACTTTAAGGAAATTGCTTTGGCTCAGTGCAACAGTCTGAAAGAGATAATAAAAATAAAGAATAAACGGGAGGTTAGGGTTAGGGCAGAGGGGAACAGTTTCTTCCCCTCTGCTGTTGGACTCTTGAACACTTCTTAACCTGTCCCCCCGCCCTTTATAAAGTCACTTTACTGCCCATCATACGTCACTTTACTTCACTGTACTGCTGTCACCTTACATTGTGTGCACCATGTGCACTTGTATATTGTAAATAGTAACTGTAACTCTATTTTAAATTTTAAATTTATTCCTTAGAAGTGTTTTTTATTCTTTCTTTTTATAATCTTTGTGACCCCGCCCCCCTGTATGTTCATTGGCATGTACTGTCCCAGTCAAAGAAATACAAATACAAGCCCAATGACGCCTTGCTCTGCCCTAGGAGGGGCTCCCGCTGGTCTCAGTCGGACCAGAAACCAGACTTCAGGTCAGACCAGAGACCAGACTTCAGGTCAGAGCGGAGATCAGACTACCAGGCTGAGCAGCGACTGGACCACAGAGCAGAGAACAGACCAGAGCGCTTCAGAGGTCGTGGCCGAGGCAGACGTGGCGTCAGAGGAGGACGAGGCAGCGACTCCGCAGAGTGCAGCAGGTACTTCTGAAGCAGGCGTGAAGCAGGCGTGTCCTTTTACAGCACCTCCCTGTCACATGTTTCTGATGCTGTTTCAGGAGAGGAACCTTCAGTCAGAGAAGGAGGGAGAACCTGAACAGTGACAGATGCAGTCCTCCAGTGAGTACAGACATATATCTCACAATGCACTGCGCTGGTATTAAAGCAAGTGTGTTGTTCCAGGAGGCCTCTGCTCCTTCTCCTCCTCCAGAGCTCAGCCTGACCAGCTTTCCCCCTCTCAGCTCCTCGTCTGCTCCTCCTAACGTGAAGATCCCAGTATGTCTCCATTCACAGATATTCACAAAGGACTGGTCACTGATGATAACTGTTTGAACTTTCTCAGGAAATCCAGTCTGCTCCACCGCTGCTGCAGGGAGCGTGGAACTCCTCCCACAAGTAAGACCCTCACTCACCAGAGCCGCAACAACAACACTTAGAAAATCATAAGGAAACTCCAGCTTCACAAACGAGAACATCTGTCTGTTGGAGAGAGAGAGCCTGGGCATGCTCATGGTAAAGGACTGTGTGTTCTAAAACCACAGCAGAGTGTTACTGCAATCGGCCCGACATCCAATCAGAGCAGCCTGTCTCTGCTCCTCTGTGACCCTCTGTGCTCCTCTGTGCCCCTCTGTGCTCCTCTGTGCTCCTCTCTGACCCTCTGTGACCCTCTGTGCTCCTCTGTGCTCCTTTGTGCTCCTCTGTACCCCCCTGTGCTCCTCTATGCCCCTCTGTGACCCTCTCTGACCCTCTGTTCTCCTCTGTACCCCTCTGTGCTCCTCTGTGCTCCTTTCTGACCCTCTGTTCTCCTCTGTACCCCTCTGTGCTCCTCTGTGCTCCTTTCTGCCCCTCTGTACTCCTTTCTGCCCCTCTGTGCTCCTTTCTCACCCTCTGTGCTCCTCTTTGACCCTTTGTGCTCCTCTGTGCTCATCTGTGTTCATCTGTGCCCCTCTGTGCTCCTCTGGACTCCTCTGTGCCCCTCTGTGCTCCTCTATGCCCCTCTGTGACCCTCTGTGCTCCTCTGTGCCCCTTTTTGCTCTTCTGTGACCCTATGTGCTCCTCTGTGCTCCTCTGTGCTCCTCTGTGCTCCTCTGTGACTCTCTGTGCTCCTCTGTGCTCCTCTGTGACTCTCTGTGCTCCTCTGTGCTCCTCTGTGAACCACTGTGCTCCTCTGTGACCCTCTGTGCTCCTCTGTGCTCCTCTGTGCTCCTCTGTGCTCCTCTGTGACTCTCTGTGCTCCTCTGTGCTCCTCTGTGCTCCTCTGTGACTCTCTGTGCTCCTCTGTGAACCACTGTGCTCCTCTGTGACCCTATGTGCTCCTCTGTGCTCCTCTGTGCTCCTCTGTGACTCTCTGTGCTCCTCTGTGCTCCTCTGTGAACCACTGTGCTCCTCTGTGACCCTCTGTGCTCCTCTGTGCTCCTCTGTGACTCTCTGTGCTCCTCTGTGACCCTCTGTGCTCCTCTGTGCTCCTCTGTGCTCCTCTGTGACTCTCTGTGCTCCTCTGTGACCCTCTGTGCTCCTCTGTGCTCCTCTGTGCTCCTCTGTGACTCTCTGTGCTCCTCTGTGCTCCTCTGTGACTCTCTGTGCTCCTCTGTGCTCCTCTGTGCTCCTCTGTGCTCCTCTGTGCTCCTCTCTGACCCTCTGCACTCCTCCGTTCTCAGGCTGAAGGAGGAGGATCAGAGACACAGCTCAGTCCAATCGTCTCCAGAGTCTCCTGCTCGCTCTCTGCTCTCTGTAAGTTCTAAGTTCTGAAACACCACCAGAGGGAGCTGTGAGAGTTACACACACACACACACACACACACACAGACACACACAAACACACACACACACACACACACACACACACATACACACACACACACACACACACACACACACAGACACACACATACACACACACACAGACACTCTCTCTCTTTTATGTTCTTGTGCTCCCCTCCTCTTCATGAGACTAACAGTAAAAATGTTTTTCTTTCCAGGAGGAGACCAAGAAACTGAGCTACGCACAGATCTGCCAGAAGTCCTCCAGAGACACCTCTCCAGTGTCCCTCAGAAACAACCCCCAACCCCCCACTGATCCCACCCTGACGCAGCCAGCAGGGGGCTCCACAGAGGTGTTTGTGCCCTCGTACCCGGGGCAGGAGCCAGAGCTCTAACAGAAGTATGTCTCAGATTGTATTTAATGTTCTTTGAGCCAGTGTCTGTGGTTCAGAATTGTTGCTCGTTTCTTTTTTAAAGCCCTTTACATCTGTGAGGAATCTGTTACTTTAAGTTTGTCCTGTCTGTATTTTCTCTCAGCTAAGACTGGAGTCATGCCTTATTTTAAAATGTTTGTCCATGGTTTAGGAGTTGATTCTGGCCTTGTGAGCGAGTTGTTTTAGTCCAAAGAATGTGAATTGTTTTGATGGTTTTGACCTGGAGGACAAAGAGTGTTGAGTGTTGTGGCCGTGTTTGCTCTGTACAGATGTACATAAGATACTATTAAAGACTTTGCAGTTAAACTAGACTCACCTTATTATCATTTATTATCTTAAACAAATTGACATGTGGACACACTCCTCCTTCTTTAATGTTTAGATCATGGAATGGAAGGATTTATGGATTATCTTTGTAAGATTGTGTATTCCCTATTCACCAAACAAGTTTCAGTTATAAAAAATATAAATCTCTGCTGTAGTTCCCCTGTTGTCCTGCAAGTGTCAGCAGAAAGCCAAACTTAACAGTGATGAGACTCCAGCGGCTTCTTCTAATGAATGACTTCTCACCGACAATAGAATAGATCGATGCTTCTGACGGGCTAATGATCCACGCAGGTAAGTGAACTGCCTCTGGAGCCTCTGGACCAGCAGCCTCTGGACCCTCTGGACCAGCAGCCTCTGGACCTCTAGAGCCTTGTAGCTGAAACACAGCATTATCTCAATCAGGTCCTCAGTGTCTGAACACTCCATTAGCGCCCATTTTTTAATGTAATGTCAAACTTTTCCAGAGTGTTCAGTCGTACTAATCAAAGGTCATGTTTCATCTCGGTTTTACTTTATATGTAAAGAATATTTATTTATTTATTTATTTATTTGATCGGGACAACACACATTAATGAACAATCATATACAAGTTGTACACAAATTGTAAATGTGCCAGATGGTAGCAAAACTCCTAATTTACATCCGTAGTCCCGAGGCAGGTCACACAATAATAATACAAAAGGACAATATACAATTATAGAAATTACACTTAGTTAAAATGAGTGCAGGACTGACTTACTTTAAAATGGTGTTTTAGTTGATTTTTAAAAGAGCTGTATGTTGGGCATACATCTCTTATGTCTGTAGGAAGGTTGTTCCAACACTGACCTCCTCTGACTGACCGACAGCACAGTTTGTCCAAATGTAGTTTTTCTGTGTGGGATCTCCACATCTCCTCTGGAGGACGCTCGGGTGCGGAGACCTGTCACTACTTTAGCTTTAACGTAGTTTGAGAGTGGGGGCGGGGCAAGACCATGAAGTGCTTTGTAAATAAAGCAACAGTTTTTAAAATGAATAAAGTTTTGAAAATTGAGCATTTTGTGTTTCTCCAGGATATTGCAGTGATGATTTGACCAAGGCTTTTGATCCAGAATTTGAATGGACTTTTTGAAGAGGGTTCCTATGGATTTTATATGTGTTTGTCCAGTGAGTGACCAGGTTGTGATACAATAATCTATGTGTGAGAAAAAGAAGTTATATAAATTATACTTTATTGAATTAGCTATGAGTTTAATATGTTTTGTTAAAGGAGAGAGTTGAATCCAGAGTGACCCCGAGAAACTTGAACTCCTCAACAAGGTCAAGCTCAGTGTCTCCAAGGAACACTTTGGACCGACCCAGTTTAATAGATTTTTTTGTAAACATCATTGACACGGTTTTTTATTTATTTAATAGTAAAGATATATTATGTATATATTACTATTAGATAGAAAATATTTACAGTCTATGGCAGTTTTGGAACTAATGTGCCTTGGAATGTTATTCGGTAAATGCCTTGGGAGTCTTAGGTCGTCTATAGAATACACTGTTCTGTTAATAAAGGCTGCACAGTTCATGTTTGTCAGTTTCAGCTGGTGGTCTGCCATGTGATTGTGCCACGGCTCAAAAAGCTTTGGGAACACTGCTCTATGGTTTAAAAGAAAAGAGTCAAAATGTCTTTGAGAGTTACATTTATAAGGAGCACATGGTCTCAGATACATTTACATTAACTCAATGTTATGAATTTAGCAGCTACAATCTGCATTGTGCTTAATGTACATTACAAATCTAAATTAAAACGTGGGTACCTAACTTTCAAACAAGACAATATGGAACTATTATAAAGTAAAACCCATGTCTCTAGAACCTGTCAATCACTAGTTTTCACATCATGTGTTTCTGTCTCTGTCACATCTTTATATCAGATTATTCAGACAGAAAAGTGAAGAAGAGAGGACCCCCTCACTCAGCCAATCAGCTCTCAGCCCAAAGAATCATTTGGCTCTTAATTATATAATAATAATAATAATTACTCCTCACTTCCATAAGACACTTTTCCGTTGGACAAACGATATTCTATATTTATGAAAAAATAAGCGAGGTATAGCCCCGATATCATTATAGCTCTAATCAAATACCACCACATAAAGGGCCCGTTTGGCGTCAGCGGCGCCTCCTGCCGGTGATGGAGCACACTGCACCCCCTCCCCTCCCCTCCACGTGGTCACGTGACTCCAGCAGCGACCAGAGGCGAGCGGATTCCTCCTCATCTCCTCCATCTGCACCTCCGCTCCTACCGCCTCTACCACCGCGTCTACCGCCACAACCATCGCACCGGGACCTCCACACAACACGGTGACCATGGCGGCCCCCCGGTAGCTCACACACCGGGCCCTTTGTCCTCCTTACCCCCAGCGCGAACAGCGAAACGATCACACACAGAAAGAGATACGGCGCGTAACTAACGCGAAGCGGACGCGTAACTGAAGCGAAGCGGACGCGAACAGCAGCAGCCCTGGAGCGCGGAGGCCGAGCGCTGTACGGGCGGATGGCGGAGCGAGATCCGTCTCCGATCCCGATGGAGATACGAGCCCGGCTGGCTGAGCTGGACCTGGAGCTGTCAGAAGGTAAAGCCCCACTCTGCACCCACTGCCCCCTCTCCCCACAGCGGCAGACACCGACCCCGCGGGCCGCTAGCTGCACCGCGCCGCCTTCCAACGGTCGCGTTTCGAGCTCGCGCGCAGATTTGTTTTAACGTTTCCAACCGTTGTATCCTCATTCCCCGCAAAACAACCTGATAAACATGAAGTGCTTTGTCAAACTGCTGTGAAACCGTCAGCATCTGCTCTCTCTGCTCTCTCTGCTAACACTGGCGTCCTCCGCGTCCTCCGCTCCATCACTGCACTATCATCTCACACATTACTTTCTTCTCTGTCTTTCCCCATATATCGATAAAAACACCAACATTGTACCCACCAGCTGCGTTTACATCTGCTAAATGTGAATTACGAGCTAAGCTAGTAGAGTCAGAGCTAACAAGACCTAACACCCAAATCTAAATAAAACATTCAAACCGGTCACGTCCATCGTGCGTGGGAAGATTCACGTTGACAAGTTTGCGAAGCATTTGAAATGAAAATATAAGTTTGATCCCCATAACTGGGATTTGCTGCGTTAAAGGGGTCTAATTGTCTGGGTCAAATGCGATGCAAGCTCTTGAAGAGAACCAGGCACATTTCTGGACAGAGGACATTCCGCTCCCTGTGTGTCTGTTATTATTGTATAGCTTATGTGTTTGATTCTCTGATCTGTGCTGGAGGAATCCTCAACTTTGTAAAGTCCTCTGATAGGGTGATACACAAATATATTCAATTGAAAAACGGCAAAAATTGCAGTTGCAAATATTACAATTACATTTGAAATGAATTAAAGGTATCGACTAGTTTTACTCTTGTAAGGTGGTTTGGCTGCCTGGGTCAAATGCTCTCACTCACAAATGATATAGTTGTTACATTTCTTTGTTATCGTCTACAGTTGAATCTATTCAATGAAGCCCCAATAACAAACACATAAACACAATACCAATAGAGCTCTGTTTTGTAAACAGGGAATAATGCAAACATACTGGATGTATCTGCTTGAAATGCACTGATTGAAGAGTATTAGATTATAAAGAGAAAGAGGACAAGTTTTCATGTGGACTAAATACTGGACAGCGTGTCTCCGGCGTGCACACATTGACATGGGACATGGAGAGTGGAGACGAGCGCTGGAACGACTTTTAAATAACCGGGATGGGCACGGAGGATGGAGGCAGGTCGTACACGTGCCGTGGTCTCCCCCAAACAGCAGCAGTCGTTAGGATCCTGGAGTGAACTTCATCTTGTCCTACTTTTGGGATCATCCTGTTTGTTTATTTAGGCTTGATTTACACCTGCTCTGTGCGGAAGTGACGGGACGCTCTCTCCAGGGTTGGCTCCTCCCACTCCCTCCTTATACATGGGCAGGAGGTGCAGGCAGGAGGTGGAGCAGGAGGTACAGGCAGGAGAGCTCCAGACCAGGGACAAGAGCAGCGCGGTGACCTTGAGATGTGGACACACCTCTGAGAGGCTGATGAGAGCAATACTGTTGTGCAATATGGATATGGAGCAATACTGTAGGATGTTAAAATGTGCAATATGGATATGGAGCAATACTGTAGGATGTAAAAATGTGCAATATGGATATGGAGCAATACTGTAGGATGTTTAAATGTGCAATATGGATATGGAGCAATACTGTAGGATGTTTAAATGTGCAATATGGATATGGAGCAATACTGTAGGATGTTAAAATGTGCAATATGGATATGGAGCAATACTGTAGGATGTTTAAATGTGCAATATGGATATGGAGCAATACTGTAGGATGTTAAAATGTGCAATATGGATATGGAGCAATACTGTAGGATGTTAAAATGTGCAATATGGATATGGAACAATACTGTAGGATGTTAAAATGTGCAATATGGATATGGAGCAATACTGTAGGATGTTAAAATGTGCAATATGGATATGGAGAAATACTATAGGATGTTTAAATGTGCAATATGGATATGGCGAAATACTATAGGATGTTAAAATGTGCAATATGGATATGGAGCAATACTGTAGGATGTTAAAATGTGCAATATGGATATGGAGAAATACTATAGGATGTTTAAATGTGCAATATGGATATGGAGAAATACTATAGGATGTTAAAATGTGCAATATGGATATGGAGAAATACTATAGGACAGCCATTCCCAAACTCAGTAACACCGAGGCCCCCTTAAAAATCTGACGGGTCTGCGTGGCCCCCCAAAATAATAACCAAGAAGACAACATTAAGAATAGGCTCTTCTGGTTATTTTATTTTGGGGAAATAGCCTCTGCTACAAACATTGTAATACAAAAATGATTACAGTGGATTATTCAAGTCAAATAATGAACACAAATATTTTAATATTGCAAACAAAACATTATAAATTTAACATTAAATAATTATTATTTTTTTTTTATGACCTCCCGCGGCCCCCCTGCAGTACCCTCGCGGCCCACCAGGGGGCCGCGGACCCCACTTTGGGAGACACTGCTATAGGATGTTTAAATGTGCAATATGGATATGGAGAAATACTATAGGATGTTAAAATGTGCAATATGGATATGGAGAAATACTATAGGATGTTAAAATGTGCAATATGATGATGGACATACGCACACAGACAATATTAGGAGTGCACTGACCGAGTGTGACACCACTACAGTGTTAGCCTTAATGCAGAAGAAGACTATTTAAACCTAATCCTGCTGGAGCCAATTGTGCGCTGTAACAGGCGCAGACGTGTTGCAATCAATCTCATAAATGGTTCTGATCTGGATTTACAGATGCAATGTCACAATGTAAACACCAGGATCATAGAGAGTGCTAAATAACAGTTACTGAGCTAGAGGAGTTTACGTTTCAATAGGAACCAAAGCGAGTTGGAGCCAAACTTCACCTTGAGCACTTCCCTATTGTGCTTGATTGAGCTAGTGGGTTAGCGCTGTCCACCTGAGTCCAGTCTCTGATGTCACTGCTGCAGACCTCGGCCCTGAGTCACTGCTCTGTTTCTGCTGATGTTTGTTGTTGTTTATTTTCCGTCTCAGTTTATTATTGTCTTTCTTCTGATGGTCTTTGAAATAAGTGAGAGCACAGAGGTTTAGGTTTTACACATTTCCAAAAGGAGGCTCACAGAGAGAATCCTTTACATAATGACAGCGTAACGACCCGTGGAGTCGTGTTTGGGTGAGTGAAGCCTTGGACTGTTGCATGTTCTGCTCTTGAAAAAAAAATTCTAAGGCTCCATGAGGATGAGAGACTCACTGTAGCTCATTATACTGTGATTCTATGTGGTCTATCTCTGGTTTCTGGTCTCTTTCTCAGGTCTATCTCTGGTTTCTGGTCTCTCTCTCAGGTCGATCTCTGGTTTCTGGTCTCTCTCTCAGGTCTATCTCTGGTCTCTCTCTCAGGTCTATCTCTGGTCTCTGGTCTATCTCTGGTCTCTGGTCTCCCCCTCAGGTAGAGCTGCAACTAACGATTATTTTGCAATCAATTAATCTGTCGATTATTTTTACGATTAATCGAGTAATCGCTTGGCTGTGAATTGTGTAGAAAATGTTTATTTTTTCATCACAAAAAGCTAAAGTGGCAACACTCGAGGACGTATTGATGGCGTAAACTTAAAGTAAATGTTTGTAACAGGCTCTTTGTGCTAATTCTGCTATCTGATTGGATGAGACAGATATTCATGAAATTATAAAAACAAAGTCGGTTTTAATAAAAAAATACTACATTTTCATGTCATTTTTACTCTGTTTGAGTCCGTGTGAACCAGAAAACGATTAATCGATTACTAAAATAGTTGGCGACTATTTCAATAATCGATTAGTTGTTTCAGCCCTACCCTCAGGTCTATCTCTGGTCTCTGGTCTTTCTCTGGTCTCTGTCAGGTCTGGTCTCTGGTCTCTCTCAGGACTGGCTCTGGTCTCTCTCAGGTCTGGTCTCTGTCAGGTCTGGCTCTGGTCTCTGTCAGGTCTGGTCTCTGGTCTCTCTCATGTCTGGTCTCTGGTCTCTCTCAGGTCTGGTCTCCGGTCTCTCTCAGGTCTGGTCTCTGATCTCTCTCAGGTCTGGTCTCTGGTCTCTGTCAGGTCTGGCTCTGGTCTCTGTCAGGTCTGGCTCTGGTCTCTGTCAGGTCTGGTCTCTAGTCTCTGTCAGGTCTGGTCTCTGGTCTCTGTCAGGTCTGGCTCTGGTCTTTGTCAGGTCTCTGGTCTCTGTCAGGTCTGGTCTCTGGTCTCTGTCAGGTCTGGCTCTGGTCTCTGTCAGGTCTGGTTCTGGTCTCTGTCAGGTCTGGTCTCTGGTCTCTGTCAGGTCTGGCTCTGGTCTCTGTCAGCTCTGGCTCTGGTCTCTGTCAGGTCTGGTCTCTGGTCTCTGACAGGTCTGGTCTCTGTCAGGTCTGGTCTCTGGTCTCTGTCAGGTCTGGTCTCTGGTCTCTGTCAGGTCTGGTCTCTGGTCTCTGACAGGTCTGGTCTCTGGTCTCTGTCAGGTCTGGTCTCTGGTCTCTGACAGGTCTGGTCTCTGGTCTCTGACAGGTCTGGTCTCTGGTCTCTGTCAGGTCTGGCTCTGGTCTCTGTCAGGTCTGGCTCTGGTCTCTGTCAGGTCTGGCTCTGGTCTCTGTCAGGTCTGGCTCTGGTCTCTGTCAGGTCTGGTCTCTGGTCTCTGTCAGGTCTGGTCTCTGGTCTCTCTCCGGTCTGACTCTCTGGGACCTGCAGAGGACTGTGATGGGAACCTTTCCATGTGAGAACAGTCATGTTCTGTGGAAGTTGTTTGAGAATCTTCACACGTGTCATTTCTGAACCTGAATGAATCCTGCTCATGGATCTATAATAATAACTGGATAGAGTATTATTAGCTTACAGCTGTCCCAACCATGGGCACAGGGGGCGCTGTGGTACTGCAAACTGAATTCACGTGGGCTACCCAGAAAAAAGTCCCATAGAACTCAATGTAAACTAAAACAGCTCGACCTCAGCTGACAGAGAACCTACAGAGAACCTACAGCTTTCATAAATATCGGATTTTGTGAGGATTTTAGTGTCCCTTGTTGTCTTGAACTCTTTTTCTTAAATCCTTCGGTTTTCTTTAAATCCACACTTTAGTGCCACAAACTCTGCCCGTCTGGCTCCGCTCTACCACTGCTCTAATGAGCAGCTCTGATCGGTCAGAGCGCGGCCGAGCCCCTCTGTGCGCGTGCATGACAGCCACACATGCGTATTTGGCATGTGACGCATGCCAAATACGCATCATGAGAGCTCGTCCACTGCGCAGAACCGGGAGGACCAGATGATGCCCAAATACAGGCGAGTTCCCCATAGATCTTTGCGAGTTCCAGGCGGAGTTCCGCTAATCTTTCAGCCCCCATGCCGGCACAAAGCGCCACTGAGCACAAACCATTCATTTGAATACGGCGACATCTTGGATCGCCTGGGCTTGAGGTTAACGTGCTAATGCTAAATTGCTACCGTAACACCTCCAGCAGGTGAAAGTGGAATATAACTATTAAGATCAGATCCAACACCAGCCTAAAGAGTCAAATAGTGACTCAGAGGGATCTCTCTTACATATGCGTTGTTTCAGACAAACTACTTTTCATTTTATATGAGTGAAAAGTTAGGGTGTCCTGCCTTAGGGTGGAAACGTCAACAACCAACAACCATGGCAACTCTGTCTCACTATGAAGATTGTACCTATGGGTCATTTAACCAAAGCCTGGGAGAGGATCAGATCCTGTATCCTGTATCTGTATATTTATATATACACATATCTATATATATATATACATTATCTGTACTATTAGTACATATATATATATACAGTACCATACTATATCATGTATCTGTATAAAGTGTAGGATTATGTATCTGTGTATAAGCAGAGGCGTCCCTTGCCATCAGGCAGGGCAGGCAGCTGCCTGGGGCCCCCAAACCGGCAGGGGGCCCCCGAGACAGTTTAATTCTTGAGTAAAGGACCGTGAATCTAATCTTTTTCTGCAATTTCTCTTAATAAACCTTGATACTCATGAGCACAAATAAAGAATATAATCTGTATATAACAACACAAACTGTTTACATGTTTATTTACACGCTTTGACTGCTGTCGTTGTGTCCTTGGGCAAGACACTTAACCCCACTTTGCCCAAAAGCCCCCACTGAACGATCAAGGCTATGCTCACACTCAGAGAGCAGCCGTCCTCCTGTGGACTCACCACCTGCAGAGGGTCAGTGAGGGGCTGGTGCTATGAGACTTGGGTGGCATCTCTGACTGTCACCCCCCTGACCCAGAAATGGATTAAAGGGTAGAAAATGGATGGATGGATGGACATGCGCAAACTGAACTTTTTAATCAGTTTAACTGATCCAGTTTCCTGGGACAAATACAGCAGCCACACTGCTCCAAATCAAAGATGGCTGCCGCCTCCTCTAGCTGCAGTCGGCTTCTCCCCGTGAGCCCAGAGCATCAGAACATCCTCATGTCCCTGTGTCTATCATGAGAATGACTTAAATAATCCATCCAATCAGAAAGCACGTGTCACCACGGTCCCCACGCCTGACGGAGCATTAAGTGACAACACTGGATAAGTTAGAAAAACCAGTCTACTGTGTTTCAACTGCATGTAACCATGGAAACCAGATGGTACTGAGACAAGGCCAGCAGAAGCAGTTAAGAGTATAGACAATACAATACAATAAACAGAGCTAACTTTGTAATTAACACGCAGCCTGAGTTAGCCCAGCCCAGTGGATTGTGGGATGTTGCTCCTCCCAAGGTTCTAAAGGAGCAAGGAAAGAATGCATATTGGCTTGGCTCCTTTTCCAAACTTCTAACTTAAATTCAGTACAATATATTTGTTTATTTCACTAAATCACAGCAGCATTCTTCTCGGAGGACTTTACAAAGTTGTCCATTCACCACCAACAGATCCAGGACTGAGGCTGTAGACCCAGGACTGAGGCTGTAGACCCAAGACTGAGGCTGTAGACCCAAGACTGAGGCTGTAGACCCAGGACTGAGGCTGTAGACCCAAGACTGAGGCTGTAGACCCAAGACTGAGGCTGTAGACCCAGGACTGAGGCTGTAGACTGTAGACAGACTGATGCATTCAAGAGCACAGGGATCCTACTGAGACAGACTGATGCATTTAAGAGCACAGGGGAAAGCCATGCTGATATGAGAAATGTGTGTAGTTGAAGTTTCATTTATTAAGGACAATGTGCAGTTGGATTCGAAAGATGCACCAGATTTAGCTCCTGCTTTTTTCCATATGTGTGTGTTTGGAGAAATTAGGACACGCCCTCATTTTTTATCATTGTGATGAAGCAGTCCCTCTGCATTTGTTTCATTTTTTTGTTTTGGTCTCTTTCTGGTCCATCTCTCTGGTATCTCTCTCTGGTCTATCTCTGGTCTCTCTCAGGTCTCTCTCTGGTCTCTCTCTGGTCCTCTCTGGTCTCTCTCTGGTCCTCTCTGGTCTCTCTCTGGTCTCTTTCTAGTCTCTCTCTGGTCTCTCTCTGGTCTCTCTCTCTGGTCTCTCTCAGGTCTCTCTCTGGTCCTCTCTGGTCTCTCTCTGGTCTCTCTCTAGTCTCTCTCTGGTCTCTCTCTCTGGTCTCTCTCTGGTCTCTCTCTAGTCTCTCTCTGGTCTCTCTCTCTGGTCTCTCTCTGGTCCTCTCTGGTCTCTCTCTAGTCTCTCTCTGGTCTCTCTCTCTGGTCTCTCTCTGGTCTCTCTCTGGTCTCTCTCTCTGGTCTCTCTCAGGTCTCTCTCTAGTCTCTCTCTGGTCTCTCTCTGGTCTCTCTCTGGTCCTCTCTGGTCTCTCTCTAGTCTCTCTCTGGTCTCTCTCTCTGGTCTCTCTCAGGTCTCTCTCTGGTCCTCTCTGGTCTCTCTCTGGTCCCACTACAGAGATCCCCATTATTCACAATCATCGATCTCTTGTTTATCATTTCCATCTTTTTCTGTTTTATTAATCCCCATTCAAGACTGGGAGAGACAGTGGACGCCTCTAGGTATTAACCAAGACTAAACCAAGTCCAAACCAGGACTAAATTAGGTCTAAACTAAGACTAAACCAGGTCTAAACTTGGAATAAATTAGGTCCAAACCAATTCTAACCTCGGCCAGTTTTAAATCAGCTTTGAACCAGAGATGCACTAGCCTGGTCGTACCACACCATAGTACAAATTACATTTCGTACTAAGGTCTGGAGGTGCTCCAATGACTTGGTGAACAGGTGGGAGGGGTTAACTCCTTTTGCAGATTGAAACAATTGGATCTGAGTTTACTGTGACGTATGTAATGAGCCCGAGTTAGTCGTTAGCATTTAGCATTTAGCCTAGCCATCTCCTTTGCCGCTAACGGAGCCCGTGGGGAGTAGCGCCACAATTTTTGCCAGCGATTACATTTGCTAAACATTCCTCTTGCTCCTGCTTCAATTTATTGATAGAACCAGACCGAATTACTTTACTATTGCATTCTTCGCCATTGCCAAACTACAATATTCCCGTTCGACCCAAACTCTTGACGTCGCCCACATCTAACTAGAACAGCCGCCTCCCGCGCTCTCTGATTGGTCGGTCAAAATTCAAGCGATTGTAATCGCTAACACAGGGACCAGACCCAGACGTTACATTCAGTGAAATGATGATTGAGCGGAGTGTTCGGATGGTTAAGGCCAGGCTAGAGATGCACCATTGCAGAGTTAGATTTAGACTTACTGTAGAGAAAACTCCACATTACACTTTAAAGTGTCGCTGTATAACACTTTTTAAAATTCCTACAATGTGACCAGTAGGTCTAAACCTGGTCTAAAGTAAGTCTAAACCAAACCTGGTCTAAAGTAAGTCTAAACCTGGTCTAAACCTGGTCTAAAGTAAGTCTAAAGCAGGTCTAAAGTACGTCTAAACCTGGTCTAAAGTAAGTCTAAACCTGGTCTAAAGTAAGTCTAAAGCAGGTCTAAAGTAAGTCTAAACCTGGTCTAGAGCAGGACTAAAGCAGGTCTAAAGCAGGCGGTCTGCCCATGGCTCTGCTGTCTCCTCACTCCTGATTATCATTTTCTGTTCCAGGGGACATCACTCAAAAAGGTTATGAGAAGAAGAGGTCCAAGCTGATCAGGGCTTATTTCCCCCATGTGGCAGGTAACAGCAGGCTGCACCGCGTTACCAGAGTCCAGGCCAGTTCAAACCAGGCCATACTAAAGCAGGCTCTGACCGCTGCACATCTTAAACCAGGTCCAAACTGAACCAGGCCAGACTGGCAGGGTCTCAACAGTACATCACTTAACCCAGGCTAGGCTGTTATTTCTAAAGTAAGGAAAGCTTTTGTCAGATAAATATAGATACAGTGATGGAGTCGTCTGATGGCTTTGTGGGAACAGTTGAGTCCGGTTGTGTAACGTTGTGTTCTGTCCATATAAACGTGCGTTGTGTGTTTTCAAGTACAGTCTTTGGTGCGAGCCGTTTTTGAGTCTGTTGTTTGAACATGACCACATTTATGTTCACACATCAAGCTCACTTAAACTACACACATCCCCGCAATCTACCCCACAATCTGCCCCACGATCTGCCCCAGGATCTGCCCCACAATCTGCCCCAGGATCTGCCCCACAATCTGCCGCACAATCTGCCCCCAGAGCTCAGCTTGGGCTTGCTCCTTTGTCTCTTCCTCTCTCCACTTGGGACCAGGAACCACACACCCAAACCTTCACCTGTGAGAAGAATGAACCATGAGAAAACTGCCATAATCCTCCTCTGAGGCGTTTCATTGGTCCATCATGCCTCCTCTCTCCTCCTCTGAGGCGTTTCATTGGTCCATCATGCCCCCTCTCTCCTCTCCTCTGAGGCGTTTCATTGGTCCATCATGCCTCCTCTTTCTTCTGAGGCGTTTCATTGGTCCATCATGCCTCCTCTCTCCCCTGAGGCGTTTCATTGGTCCATCATGCCTCCTCTCTCCTCCTCTGAGGCGTTTCATTGGTCCATCATGCCTCCCCTCCTCGGAGGCGTTTCATTGGTCCATCATGCCTCCTCTCTCCTCCTCTGAGGCGTTTCATTGGTCCATCATGCCTCCTCTCTCCTCCTCTGAGACGTTTCATTGGTCCATCATGCCTCTCCTCCTCGGAGGCGTTTCATTGGTCCATCATGCCGCCTCTCTCCTTCTCTGAGGCGTTTCATTGGTCCATCATGCCCCCTCTCTCCTCTGAGGCGTTTCATTGGTCCATCATGCCCTCCTCTCTCCTCCTCTGAGACGTTTCATTGGTCCATCATGCCTCCCCTCCTCTGAGGCGTTTCATTGGTCCATCATGCCTCCTCTCTCCTCCTCTGAGACGTTTCATTGGTCCATCATGCCTCCTCTCTCCTCCTCTGAGACGTTTCATTGGTCCATCATGCCTCTCCTCCTCTGAGGCGTTTCATTGGTCCATCATGCCTTCTCTCCTCTGAGGCGTTTCATTGGTCCATCATGCCTCCTCTCTCCTCCTCTGAGGCGTTTCATTGGTCCATCATGCCGCCTCTCTCCTTCTCTGAGGCGTTTCATTGGTCCATCATGCCTCCTCTCTCCTCTGAGGCGTTTCATTGGTCCATCATGCCCTCCTCTCTCCTCCTCTGAGACGTTTCATTGGTCCATCATGCCTCCCCTCCTCTGAGGCGTTTCATTGGTCCATCATGCCTCCTCTCTCCTCCTCTGAGACGTTTCATTGGTCCATCATGCCTCCTCTCTCCTCCTCTGAGACGTTTCATTGGTCCATCATGCCTCTCCTCCTCTGAGGCGTTTCATTGGTCCATCATGCCTTCTCTCCTCTGAGGCGTTTCATTGGTCCATCATGCCTCCTCTCTCCTCCTCTGAGGCGTTTCATTGGTCCATCATGCCTCCTCTCTCCTCCTCTGAGGCGTTTCATTGGTCCATCATGCCTCTCCTCCTCTGAGGGCGTTTCATTGGTCCATCATGCCTCCTCTCTCCTCCTCTGAGACGTTTCATTGGTCCATCATGCCTCCTCTCTCCTGCTCTGAGACGTTTCATTGGTTCATCATGCCTCTCCTCCTCTGAGGCGTTTCATTGGTCCATCATGCCTCCTCTCTCCTCTGAGGCGTTTCATTGGTCCATCATGCCTCCTCTCTCCTCCTCTGAGGCGTTTCATTGGTCCACTTTCCGCACACGTGTCCCACTCTTTACCTGGAGGAGTTCCTGCTCCATGGCTGTGTCTCGTCCTGTGCTACTTTTCTCCTTGTTCATATCTCTGTATATGTATGTTGGATCTGTGCCCATCTTTTGTTCCAGGGATGGAGGGGCCCCTGTCTCATCGCCCCCCACTTGGCCCCCCCTCTGCAGCGCGTTTTCACCGGCGACGCACTTCCGGAACGAGAGACGAGCGCTACAGATCAGGTAGAGCTTATGGCGACGACCAGGACTAATGTTATAACCTCAAAACCATTGTCAAAATGTTAGTCTGACATAAACTTGTCCAAATCCCTTTCAACAGATATCATATGTGTCGATTCTACTTCTATATTTTCTAATCCCTTTCTGAACGATGGTTTCAACAGATATCATATGTGTCTATTCCACTTCTATATTTTCTAAGGCTCATTATTATTGTGTGACCTGTATAACCCTCTCCCTGCTGTTCCTCAGATGTCCACACGGAGGCGGTGCAGGCTGTGTTAGCCCGACACGTGGAGAGGAAGGTGGCTGTGCCGATGCCATCCAAGCGGCGCTCTCTAGTGGTGCAGACGAGTATGGATGCGTACACACCCCCAGGTGAGGCTCCTCCCCCAGGTGAGGCTCCGCCCCCAGGTGAGGCTGCTATCGCACAATCAGCCTCCAAATACACTTTCTCCAGTCATATTGGGATCCTTGCAATTATGCTAAATGTTCAGTAAAATAACAGAATCTACTGTTAATTCATATATTTCTACATAATAATGAAATTATTACATATAAAACATTATTACACACAATACTCCCAACCACGGGGCACGGACTCCTGGTGGTACTCCAGGATTTACAATTATTCCAAAATGAGGTAGTTAGTGTGGGTTACTTTGTATTGTATAGTGGGTTTACTTTGTTATGAATATTAAACCCAAGGACAAAAGTTATTTCAAAACAGAAACAGTCAACAATAAAAATCCTTCCGTACGGTTTTGGTTCAGTCCAAACTGAACTATTTTGCTGAATTCCTCATCTTTCCTTTTTGTAATAAGTATGTGACCTGTCGTTACCTCATATAAACATGGCCGACCTTTGGGACCCGAGCGGAGGCCCCCAGTGAATGATAATGAGGCCCACCGAAAGTCCAGGGTCAGACTGGGACTGGTCTACAGATCTATGGGTGTCCAGGGTCACACTGGGACTGGTCTACAGATCTAGGGGAATCCAGGGTCAGACTGGGACTGGTCTACAGATCTAGGGGAGTCCAGGGTCACACTGGTACTGGTCTACAGATCTAGGGGAGTCCAGGGTCAGACTGGGTCCGGTCTACAGATCTATAGGTGTCCAGCGTCAGACTGGGACTGGTCCTCAGGTACTGTAATTGTCCTTGTGTCTGCAGGTTTGTCACCGCTGTGCTCTGATTCGTCCTCGGGCTCAGAGGAGGAGGCGGGGCCTCGAGACGACCTGTCAGGATTGGAACACTGGAGCCGGCCATCACAGCTTGGCCCCGCCCACCTGGGGTCCACTTCCTCGTCGTCCTCCTCCACTCAGAGCGGAGGCAGTGGGAACGCCAGCCGCCTCGCTGACTCCCTGGCTCATGCACACCTGTCCCACCTGGGCCACTCCCACCTAAGTCAGTCCCACCACGGTACGTGACCACACCCCCCAGAGCCTTCTAGGCCACTCCCACCTAAGTCAGTCCCACCACGGTACGTGACCACACCCCCCAGAGCCTTCTAGGCCACTCCCACCTAAGTCAGTCCCACCACGGTACGTGACCACACCCCCAGAGCCTTCTAGGCCACTCCCACCTAAGTCAGTCCCACCATGGTACGTGACCACACCCCCAGACCCTTCTAGGCCTGTACACAGATGGACAGTTCTAGGGAACCCTCATAATGAAGGTCTCATGCTGAAGTGTTGCTCCTTTGGCGACTTTTACCTTCCAGCCTGGAGCAGCTCCTGCTTGGCTCATGGTTGGCTCCTGATTGGCTCATGGTTGGCTCATGGTTGGCTCATGGTTGCTAGTTTGTTGCTACTAGAGAATTAGTCTGTTTGAGTTACCCTGACTTCCGGACTATAAGCCATGCATATTATCCCGCACTTTGAATGCTGCGGTTTATACTAAAGTGCAGGCTCATTTTGTTTGCTGTGGAGCCAAATATAATCAGGTGTCATTTAAAGTCTGGAGAGTAGGGCAGTTGTAATGATCCTGCTCTACTCTACTCTGCTTTACTCTACTCTACAGTTGTAATGATCATGCTCTACTCTACTCTGCTTTACTCTACTCTACAGTTGTAATGATCCTGCTCTACTCTAATCTGCTTTACTCTACTCTACAGTTGTAATGATCATGCTCTACTCTACTCTGCTTTACTCTACTCTACAGTTGTAATGATCATGCTCTACTCTACTCTACAGTTGTAATGATCATGGAGCCTGTGAGTTAGCGCTAACCCTCTGTGCTCCTCAGGGATCGGGCACCTGTCCCTGAAGAGGAAAGCCGCCCTCAGTGTGGCAGAGAACGGCGGCTCTCTGCGGCGCTCCTGTGAGTTCGGCTCCGACATGTTGTGGCCACCGCCACTGGAGTCCGACGGTACGTTACTCTACGGTTATTTATCTTACTCTACTCTACTCTACTCTGCTCTGCTCTGCTCTGCTCTGCTCTACTCTACTCTGCTTTACTCTACTTTACTCTACTCTACTCTGCTCTGCTTTACTCTACTCTACTCTACTCTACTCTCCTTTCCTCTACTCTACTCTGCTCTGCTTTACTCTACTCTACTCTACTCTCCTTTCCTCTACTCTACTCTGCTCTGCTTTACTCTACTCTACTCTACTCTACTATACTCTGCTCTGCTCTACTCTACTCTCCACTCTTCTGTACTCTGCTCTTCTATACTCTACTCTACTCTTTGTTCTACTCTGCTTTACTCTATTTTACTCTACCCCGAATGGGAGTGTTTCCACCGACCCTATTTAACCGATTCCAGATCCTTTTTTAGCCCCGATTGGTCCTGGTTCTATCCAGGCTGAGCTGGAACTAAAGTGTTCTAACTGACGGTGAGTGGCCAGAGTGCTGCTGCTGAGTAAAGTAGAGTTGAGCAGAGTAGGGCTTGTGGAAATGGATAGATACAAGCTTGGGACAAGCTCACCACCCATTTTTGGGTCCTGGCCCACTAGTTGAGAACCCCTGTGCTCGTGTCTCTTCTGTGTGGAGCAGAAGGCCTCTGATGGCTGATTGACTGATTGTGCTGACGATGACCACATTCATGACCTTCTGATCTGACCCTTTCTCTTTGTGCCGCCGTCCTGTAGAGAAGCGCTTGGGCCCCGACGTCACCGGTTACTCTTCCGACTCCCCGCACTCCCACACAGAGCGCCACCACATGTCCAACATGGGAACTATCGCCCGCAACACGCAGAAGTACGGCAACGCGGAGAGGATGGAGACTGGGGACGGTAAGTTCTCCGCCGCAGGGACACTGGCATGAGGTCAGACTGACCAGACATATGAGTCACGTGTGTGATGTCACATTTTTGTGTCTCCTGCTGCAGGCGTCCCGGTGAGCAGTCGTGTCTCTGCAAAGATCCAGCAGCTGGTGAACACGCTGAAGCAGCCGCGCAGACCGCCGCTCAGGGAGTTCTTTGTGGACGACTTCGACGAGCTCTTAGAAGGTCAGTGTTGGACTCAAGCTCTGATGTGGTTATTGCAGTCAATAACCACTGTGACAGTTCGCCTGTCCAAGGGGCCATGTCCACTGTGACAGTCCGCCTTTCCGAGGAGGCGTGTCCACTGCGGCAGTCCGCCTGTCCGAGGAGGCGTGTCCACTGCGACAGTCCGCCTGTCCGAGGAGGCGTGTTCACTGCGGCAGTCCGCCTGTCCGAGGAGGCGTGTCCACTGCGGCAGTCCGCCTGTCCGAGGAGGCGTGTCCACTGCGACAGTCCGCCTGTCCGAGGAGGCGTGTCTACTGCGACAGTCCTCCTGTCCGAGGAGGCGTGTCCACTGTGACAGTCCTCCTGTCCGAGGAGGTGTGTCCACTGTGACAGTCCGCCTGTCCGAGGGAGCGTTTCCACTGTGACAGTCCGCCTGTCCGAGGAGGCATGTCCACTGCGACAGTCCGCCTGCTCAAGGAGGCGTGTCTACTGCGACAGTCCGCCTGTCCAAGGAGGCGTGTCCACTGCGACAGTCCTCCTGTCCGAGGAGGCGTGTCCACTGTGACAGTCCGCCTGTCCGAGGGGGCATGTCCACTGTGACAGTCCGCCTGTCTGAGGAGGCGTGACAACTGTGACAGTCCGCCTGTCCGAGGAGGTGTGTCCACTGTGACAGTCCGCCTGTCCGAAGAAGGCGTGTCCACTGTGACAGTCCGCCTGTCCGAGGAGGCGTGACAACTGTGACAGTCCGCCTGTCCGAGGAGGCGTGTCCACTGTGACAGTCCGCCTGTCTGAGGGGGCGTGTCCACTGTGACAGTCCGCCTGTCCGAGGGGGCGTGTCCACAGTGACAATCCGCCTGTCCGAGGAGGCGTGTCCACTGTAACAGTCCGCCTGTCCGAGGAGGCGTGACAACTGTGACAGTCCGCCTGTCCGAGGGGGCGTGTCCACTGTGAAGTCCGCCTGTCCGAAGAGGCGTGTCCACTGTGACAGTCCGCCTGTCCGAAGAGGCGTGTCCACTGTGACAGTCCGCCTGTCCGAGGAGGCGTGTCCACTGTGACAGTCCGCCTGTCCGAGGAGGCGTGTCCACTGTGACAGTCCGCCTGTCCGAGGAGGCGTGTCCACTGGGACAGTCCGCCTGTCCGAGGAGGCGTGTCCACTGTGACAGTCCGCCTGTCCGAGGAGGCGTGTCCACTGTGACCTTCCAGTTCTAGTGTGTTTGAACAGAAACACCTTCAATGCCATGAGTCTCATTCTGTCCCTGTCCCACCCACAGTCCAGCAGCCTGACCCCAACCAGCCCCGCCCTGAGGGGGCCGAGATGCTGCCTGTGCGTGGAGAGGCTCTGGGGGTGGTCACCAACTGGCCCCCGTCACTGGAGGCCGCATTGCAGCGATGGGGCACCATCTCCCCTAAAGCCCCCTGTCTGACTAGCCTGGACACGGCCGGGAAGGCTCTCTACGTCCTCACATACGGTAAACACACCAAGCTCAAGGTTTTTTGTATAGCACGTTCATATTTATGTTTGTTACAGAGGAGAGGACAGGAGAGATGAGAGAGAGGAGCGAGTGATGTGAGAGAGAGGAGAGGAGAGAGAGAGGAGAGGAGCGTGTGATGTGAGAGTGGAGAGGAGAGAGTGATGTGAGAGAGAGGAGAGAGAGAGAAGAGGAGAGAGTGATGTGAGAGAGAGAAGAGGAGCGAGTGATGTGTGAGAGAGGAGAGAGTGATGTGAGAGAGGAGAGACGTGAGAGAGGGGAGAGGAGAAGGGTGATGTGAGGAGAGAGGAGAGGAGAGAGAGTGGAGAGGAGAGAGTGATGTGAGAGAGGAGAGATGTGAGAGAGGAGTGATGTGAGAGAGGGGAGAGGGGAGGAGTGATGTGAGAGAGGATAGAGGAGAAGGGTGATGTGAGAGAGGAGAAGGGTGATGTGAGGAGAGAGGAGGAGAGGCCCTCCTTCTTGCCCCTTCCTCTTCTTCATTATACAGTCCTCTGTTGGCCTCAGACTGTGTGTATGTTGACCAGCCCTAAACAGCTCATCTGACCTGTGTCCGTGTGACTGCAGGGAAACTGTGGTCGCGCAGCATCAAACTGGCCTACAACATCCTCCACAAACTGGGCAGCAAACTGGAGCCCATGGTGCGACCGGGGGACCGGGTGAGTTTGCTGAGTCGCGATACTTATGTTACTACTACTTTAATACACTATGCTCATAGAACAAGCAAGTGAAGTGGTTTTCCTGCACAAGTCTGTATGAAAGGTCCGTATCTATGGTTACAGCAGCATGTCTGACCTGCAGGTGGCGCTGGTGTTCCCCAATAATGACCCTGTGGCCTTCATGGTGGCCTTCTACGGCTGTCTACTGGCAGAGGTGGTACCCGTGCCAATAGAGGTGCCCCTCAGCCGGAAGGTAAACTGAGTCCTTAAACCTGCTTTAGACCTGCTTTAGTCCTGCTTTAGTCCTGCTTTAGACCTGCTTTAGTCCGGCTTTAGTCCGGCTTTAGTCCTGCTTTAGACCTGGTTTAGACCTGCTTTAGTCCTGCTTTAGTCCTGCTTTAGTCCTGCTTTAGTCCTGCTTTAGACGTGCTTTAGTCCTGATTTAGACCTGGTTTAGACCTGCTTTAGTCCTGCTTTAGTCCTGCTTTAGACGTGCTTTAGTCCTGATTTAGTCCTGCTTTAGACCTGGTTTAGTCCTGCTTTAGACCTGGTTTAGTCCTGCTTTAGTCCTGCTTTAGACGTGCTTTAGTCCTGATTTAGTCCTGCTTTAGTCCTGCTTTAGACCTGCTTTAGTCCTGCTTTAGACCTGCTTTAGTCCTGGTTTAGACCTGCTTTAGTCCTGGTTTAGACCTGCTTTACTCAAACTAACTGAAAGGGATGTGTGTCCTCAGGATGCAGGCAGTCAGCAGATCGGCTTCCTTCTGGGCAGCTGCGGCGTCACGGTGGCTCTGACCAGTGACGCCTGCCACAAAGGACTCCCCAAGAGCGCCACGGGGGAGATCCCTCAGTTCAAAGGTCAGCAGGCATCACTCACACAGACAGAGGAGACAGAGACAGAGGAAACAGAGGGGACAGAGGAGACAGAGGAGACAGACGGGACAGAGGAGACAGAGGGGACAGAGGAGACAGAGGAGACAGACGGGACAGAGGAGACAGAGGAGACAGAGGGGACAGAGGAGACAGAGGAGACAGAGGGAACAGAGGAGACAGAGGAGACAGAGGGGACAGAGGAGACAGAGGGGACAGAGGGGACAGAGGAGACAGAGGAGACAGAGGAGACAGAGGGGACAGAGGAGACAGAGGGGACAGAGACAGAGGAGACAGAGGAGACAGAGGAGACAGAGGGGACAGAGGAGACAGAGGGGACAGAGGGGACAGAGACAGAGGAGACAGAGGGGACAGAGACAGAGGAGACAGAGGGGACAGAGGAGACAGAGGAGACAAAGGGGACAGAGGAGACAGAGGGGACAGAGGATATATGTATATATATAGCTCGTAGTGTGAAAAAAATATGTATTTAAGTATCTCACTTTGAACTAGTTCAGAATTAAAAATGTGAACTTTGAACGTGAACTGTTCACTTTGAGCATGTATGAACTGAACTTGAACTAGTTCAGAAAAGCTGTGAACTGGCACAACACTGGACAGAGGACACGGAGACAGAGGAGACAGAGGAGACAGAGACAGAGGAGACAGAGGAGACAGAGGGGACAGAGGAGACAGAGGGGACAGAGACAAAGGGGACAGAGACAGAGGGGACAGAGACAGAGGAGACAGAGGGGACAGAGGGGACAGAGGAGACAGAGGAGACAGAGGGGACAGAGGGGACAGAGGAGACACGTATCCCTTTTATTTCATTTATAACAAACACTGGAAGAACTAGGAACATCTGAATGTTCAGGAATTGTGGGTCGTCTCCAGAATCTATATTCTCTCTTTTGTCCCAAAACTTTGTTTTTAGTTTCACAGCTTGGACTTTCCCTCTGGGACAGATTCACCGTAGAATCCTCTGAGCTGTTACGTCATTGACAAAGTTGTGGAGATCTTTTCTGCATCATGTCATGTTTTTGAGTCAATGCAATTGAGTCTACTCCGAGCTCCCCAGGACATAATCACACTTCTCCTGTGAGCAGGATGGCCCAAGCTGCTGTGGTTCGTGACAGAGTCAAAACATTTGTCCAAACCTCCCAGAGACTGGTTTCCTCACATCAAAGATGCCAACAACGACACGGCCTACATCGAGGTGTGTGTGTCTGTCTGTGTCTGTGTGTGTGTGTGTGTGTATGTGTGTGTGTGTTGTAATTGTATCACTCACATGTAAACCCCTGTGTCTCAGTACAAGTCGTGTAAGGACGGCAGTGTGCTCGGCGTCACGGTGACGAGGATCGCACTGCTCACTCACTGTCAGGCACTGACTCAGGCCTGCAGCTACACAGAAGGTGAGACACGTCTGCACACGTGACACAGAGGGTGAGACACATCTGCACACGTGACACAGAGGGTGAGACACATCTGCACACGTGACACAGAGGGTGAGACACATCTGTGAATGGTTCAGATTGCTCTAAAACTTGTGTCTGTGCTTTTTCTTTCACAGCGGAGACGATCGTGAACGTGCTGGACTTCAAGAAGGACGTGGGATTGTGGCACGGCATCCTCACGGTACGAACCACATGACCCACGACCCCCCCTCACATGACTGTAAAAGCTGTCTTATCTTAAAGCTGTACATGTCGCCTTTTAACGTAGTTGAGATACAACATGGATGATTGTGAGGGAACATCATGTGAAAAGAACTACAATAAGTGAAGGACCTCAGAGGATGGATCCAGTGAAGAGGCAGATTCCATGGCTCCTCATGATCAGAGGCTCCTGGACCAGTGCAATAATTAATTTACTCACTTTAAACAGTGCTGCTTTGACTCGTTCTGTGATTTAGTATAATTTTATGATAACTGTTGGTTTTCATCTTTTGATAATGTATTTTAGTTTGTTTTTATGAAGAAGGGCAGGAGGAGATGGTGCTAGATTTAATGTATTTGTGTATCGCCATTAATCACAACAGCAGTCATCTTGGAGGACTTTACAAAGTTGTGGATTTGCCAATAACAGATCAAACAGTTCGAACACAGGAAATAAAATAATTACATAGGAGCCATTTGTACATAAGTGGGATCACCACAGTCCAAAAATGTTATTAAAATTCCATAAATGTCCTTTAATATCCCGGCTCATCACTGTCCTTAGGCCCTTCTGCATCTCTAAGGAACGACTCACATTGGACTGTCTCAATTTCATGTGGGAGATTGTCCTGTTTTAACAAAATACGCTGGTTTCGAGCGCCCTCCGGTGGTTGGAGGCAGTAGTCATTCTGATAAAAAAGCCACGCATCCCCATCGTGCTGTTTATTTTTATTTTTCCCCTACGCATTTGTGCCACACTTTATCACGTTGCTGTGGCTGTGTTTAACAGGTATTTATTGTGTTATTTCAGTTTGGTTATGGTTAGGGACGAGGGGAGGAGGACCCTGTGTGATGACCAGTTTTGATTATAGCGTTGTTAAAATAATCTAACTGCGTGAGGGTAAAAACATGTGCACGTGTTTAAAGTAAAGTCCAAGATGGCTGACCAGAGGTGACCACGGGTGACCAGGAGCTCCCATTTCACTAACATGTGATTAAAACTTCTTTCCCCGGTACTTTGTATGGTTGTAAGTATTGCGGATGTAGAAACAAATACATTTTCCTCCCGTTGAAGAATATTATGTTCATTCGAGAAAGCCACGCGTTAGCCTCTTGTTAGCCTCGTGTTAGCCTCTCGTTAGCCTCGTGTTAGCCTCGTGTTAGCCTCGTGTTAGCCTCGTGTTAGCCTCTCGTTAGCCTCGTGTTAGCCTCGTGTTAGCCTCGTGTTAGCCTCTCGTTAGCCTCGTGTTAGCCTCTCGTTAGCCTCGTTTTAGCCTCGTGTTAGCCTCTCGTTAGCCTCGTGTTAGCCTCGTGTTAGCCTCTCGTTAGCCTCGTGTTAGCCTCTCGTTAGCCTCGTGTTAGCCTCTCGTTAGCCTCGTTTTAGCCTCGTGTTAGCCTATCGTTAGCATTTCATTAGCATTACCAGCCAGAGGTCCCATTTAATCTAGTTCTGTAGAAAGAGGTTTGCAACTGTGTTAGTTGCTTTGGAAATTAATGTCTAGAAAGGAAATGAAAATTTGCATCTTAATCACGCTAAAGGTAAGTATATTTAAAGCTTCAAACGCTGAGGTCTGAAACTTTTAACCATTTAACTGGAACTATGGTGTATTAGTGACTTTAAAGCCCATTCTGTATATATTAATACTTTAAAATGAAAAAAGCATTATATGTAACGGTTTTATAATCTGTAATTGTATGTAACTTTTGTCCAGGACTCCCTTGAAAAAGAGGTTCTTAATCTCAATGGGACTTTCCTGTTTAAATAAAGGTGAAATAAATTAAGATCATATCAAATTAAAATACACAGGACTTTATGGCTAAACAAGTGAGGTACCTCAGCTTTAATAGCTTTTGAATGTGTTGTTGTGTTTGATATATGCTGCTGTGTCTTTCAGAGTGTGATGAACATGATGCATGTGATCTCCGTCCCCTACTCCCTGATGAAGGTCAACCCTCTGAGCTGGATCCAGAAAGTCTGTCAGTATAAAGGTAAGAGCCACATATGGAAAACAGTTTTACTAATAATCATTTCTATTTGTATGTGATGAATCATGGAGTCCTGTTGTATACTACACTTCCCTAAAGTCTAAACGTGTGTGTGCAGCTAAAGTGTCGTGTGTGAAGTCGCGGGACATGCACTGGGCTCTGGTGGCCCACAAAGACCAGAAGGACATCAACCTGAGCTCTTTGAGGATGCTGCTGGTGGCGGACGGCTCCAACCCCTGTACGTGACATTTTACTGTTTCATAGAACTGGGTTTAGGTGGACACAGGAGCTTCTGAGGGGAATGCCTTTACTTCCAAATACTGCTTTACAGTTTGGTTAAAAACAATGCCGCCCATGACCCTCCCCCCTCCCGATCACCCCAAAACACATTTATTATGAAGAATGCATGCAAGCGTAGACGAACACAAACGCACAGACATACTCTCTCACACACACACACACACACACACACACACACACACCCCAGTAAAACCATGAAAAGAGAGACTTCTTTAGCTGGTTGTTGATGCAACCAGCTGAAGAAGCGCCATCCATGGCCTGGTCTGCACCAGGAGCAGAGAGCCGCCTGCAGCCACAGGGGACGACACAGGACCCAGAGGAGGCATGAAGCCGACGCTCCAGACCCCCGCCAGGTCCAAGAGCCAGACCCCCACAGACACAGCCGGCCTCAGCTCCCAGTGCAGAGGGCTCCTTCAGAGGAAACCCTGGGTATACAATATAAAAGTAAAACACTAAAATATGAACCTAAAAGGAACTATCATAATACATGAGTAATAGCAATAACAATAATAAAAAATAATAAAGCTAAAATAAAATGTGTCTAAGAGATAAATAGAATATATTAAATGGAATAATAAATACTAAAAGCTAATCTAAATAGCCTGAGTCTGCTTTTAAAAATATGAACGTTCTCTACGGCCCTGAGCTCCTCCTCAGACTGTTCCAGAGACGAGGGCCGTAGTGCGGGAAAGATGCCTCACCGTGAGTGTGTGTCCTGACTTTGGGAATGTTTAGGAGTCTGCTGCCGGAGGAGTGCAGGGGCCGGGAAGGCTCATAGGGTAAAATCAGTTCTGAAAGATAAGAAGGCCCAAGACCATTAAGACTTTTAAAAACCATTAAAAGAACCTTAAAATCGATCCTGAAACACACGGGGAGCCAATGCTCCTCAGGGTCCACCTCCTTAACTCCTCTCTCTCTTCAGGGTCCATCTCCTCCTGTGATGCCTTCCTGAACGTGTTCCAGACCAAAGGGCTCAGAGCTGATGTCATCTGTCCCTGTGCCAGCTCCCCTGAGGCGCTCACTGTCGCCATCCGCAGGTAACAACAGAAATTTAATTTGTAAAACAAACAATACAAATCTCCCTCTGCTCTTTCCTTGATACAACTTGTTTCACTTTTTGTACTGAAGATATTATTTCAAAACATGAGATGACAAAGTAAACTGTCTCCTTTTCAATGTAATGGGTCACAAAGATGACAAAACAAAATATTATTATCTTTATCATATTTTTATTGAATGGACCCAGGAAGACTCACTGATTGCAAAGCTTTCAGCTTTAACCAGATTCTTTTTAGCAGCCCTCTGAAGAACACACGTACACGCTGCCTGGGGGACCCTGGGCTCCATATGAACACACATATGCAGCAACAGCTCCCTCTTGTGTGTGCGTGTGGTATTACACCACTTTATGCTGCAGAAGCATTCCTCACACATTCCTCCAGTGAACTCTCCACTGCCCCCTCCTCTCTCTCCCACACGCTCAAAGAGCCTTCGTCATCTTGGCTCCTCAGCACCTCCTCGTTAGTATAGTGGTGAGTATCCCCGCCTGTCACGCGGGAGACCGGGGTTCAATTCCCCGACGGGGAGTGATAAGCTCTTTTTTACATTTTTCTAGTGCATCTCAAGCTACTGACATAAAGTAAATACCATACGAAGTCCCTCAAGTCGCACCAGGGCTAAACCCGGGCTAAACCCGGCCTTATTGTGTTTAAACCAGGGCTACGGGTAAAGGTGCAGTTTGTTTTCCTGCTGCTATTTGTCCTGATTGTTCCTGTGAATCATGGCTCTACTCATCTGTACATGAGCTGGTCTTCATCTGACCACAGCTTTAGAGCTTACTCATAAACACGTTGTGTTGGTGAAACACTCCCATCCCTGTCTCCCTCAGGCCTGTGGAGGACAGCAGTCAGCCCCCCGGTCGTGGGGTCCTCTCCATGGGGGGTCTTAGCTATGGTGTGGTGCGTGTGGACACGGAGGAGCGGCTGTCTGTGCTCACAGTGCAGGACGTGGGGACAGTGGCCCCCGGAGGTAAGGGACACAAACACATGATGGAAATGATACTGTTCATACACACATACAAGATTAAACTGATATTTCTCACCAACATTGGGAAGTCTTTGTTCAGAGTAAAATGATAAACTTGAAGTGTTCCATTTGAAAAAGTTACACACAAAACGATAACTTATATATTTCAAAGCATTATCAAGAAATGAAGACAAGGGAGCGGCAATAGCGAACTATCTAAATGACGTCACTAAGACACGCCCCCGCCGCCTGTCAACTCCCGCCCACATGTTTCGGACAAACACTGCCGAAATGAATCAAATACCTCTTGTCACTTTAGACAAAAATGATATACCAGGAGCAAAATTCCACCATCAAACCATCAGGGATCATAGTGTAGACCAATTAAAATGTTGGCTTGAATGTCGTGGTCTTCCAGTAACTGGTAGAAAGTTTGAGTTGATAAAAAGGTAATGGTGAGGATTATGCTAACATTATCTAGTCATTTAAATTGATTAAAGGAGCTATACCCGTTTCTGCAATGTTTGAATGTTTAGCACCGCCCCCCAACTCGCTCACAGGCTTCTCATTTCCCCTACACTCTCATAACACGGAGCCACCTAGTTTTATTTGCGATCTGATACGTATGCTAACATTAGCATTAGCGCAACTTGTAAACTGTGCAACAATCACTGATGAAATGGTACTAAAGCAATGCACTGCTAACACAATATATAAGTAAAAGAATACCATTAGTTTCGCGTCCGGATGTATTAATTTAAACATTAGAATATATTCTAATATTTAATTATAATTTATTATACAGCTCCTCCCAGCAGCAGCACTCCATTGACTTGAATGCAATTCTTCCGATCATTTTTTCTTTAACAGAACTCTCAAACCAATAATGACCGCAGCCCCAATGCAATCTCTGTTTGTAATTCAGGTGTGAAAAATACTGCCATTACTTTGCAAGTACAACAAGCCATCAGCGCCTGTCACAACATTGTGCAGTTTTTCTGCACACTTGTCTGTGTAGAGAAGCTAGCGGAGCTAGCCACGCTCAATAAACAAATACATATCAATCAATCAACACCATTAAACGTCAATCGGACAATACAGTATACATATACATCCTTAACACACATGCACGGACGCTTTCAGAATTAGCTGTCAACGTTTTCATGACAAAAATACTGTTTTAAAGTGACAAAAAGCGATCGCGAAAAACCCGGAAGTTAGCATGAAACAGCTAGCTAGCTTAGCTGTTACCTGCCTAGCACGTCCCGGTGAAACCTTTGGGAGCTAACTATTTTATTTGCAGTCATTAAATACATTTCTAATTATAAGGGTTGTCTAATATTTGTTCAAATATGTATATATTTTTTATCTTAGAATTATATTCGAATTTTGAAGTCGAAGCCCTGTTGTTAAGCAGCGCTGTAGAGGCTAGAGGACGCAGGCTGGTCGCTTCTTGTTCTGTGAGTGGAGGAGAACGAGCGTCCCGCTCAGACTCTACTCAGCACTTTTCACTGCCTGAATTTCATACACCGTGGAATCAATGACCTCAAGTTTTCAATTAAATGATGTATTGTGATACAACTTGTATGTAGTAAAAAGCATTTTTATGAACTACTCGGGTATAGCTTCTTTAACTATCTTGCATCAGTTTGAATAAAATGTAAACAAAGAACTGTAAGTGTGGTTCATGGTTTGTTATTCAGATCTATTACTGGCAGACAGAGGCTCAAAGGCACAGAGCAGAGGCTTACGTCCTCCTCATGGGTTGGGCTGAAGTGGTGTTGGGAAACTCATGCCTGGGGAGGGGGAGGGGCCGACACAGCTGAAAGATAAGACATTCAAATACTGTCAATCAGGAGTATTTTTACTTTGTTCTTTCTTCTATGACGTCAAAGTAACAGGTTGGATGACGCCTGTTGTGTCTCTGGGGTAGGCCTGGTGTGTGTGGTGAAGCCAGAGGGAGTGCCACAGCTCTGTCAGACAGATGAGATCGGTGAAATGTGTGTTTGCTCCGTCGCCACTGGAACCTCGTACTATGGCCTCACCGGGATGACCAAGAACACCTTTGAGGTAAGTCACACTGATCCATTTGACTCCTGCAGATCCACAGCTATGTAATGTCTAATGGGTGTAGTGTGACATCACTTCCTCGTTAGTATAGTGGTGAGTATCCCCGCCTGTCACGCGGGAGACCGGGGTTCAATTCCCCGACGGGGAGGATGTGTTTTTGTCTCTGTGCCTTTCCCCTGCAGCAGCTACAGCTTGTTACACGTTTGTTAAGTTACATTTTACTGTGGAAAATCAACACATACGGTGGGGCAAAAAAGTATTTAGTCAGCCACCGATTGTGCAAGTTCTCCCACTTAAAATAATGACAAAAGTCTGTAATTTTCATCATAGGTACACTTCAACTGAGAGACAGAATGTGAAAAAAAATCCAGGAATTCACATTGTAGGACTTTAAAATAATTTATTTGTAAATGATGGTGGAAAATAAGTATTTGGTCACTTCAAACAAGGAAGATCTCTGCCTCTCACAGACCTGTAACTTCTTTAAGAAGCTCTTCTGTCCTCCACTTGTTACCTGTATTAATGGCACCTGTTTGAACTTGTTATCTGTATAAAAGACACCTGTCCACAGCCTCAAACAGTCAGACTCCAAACTCCACTATGGCCAAGACCAAAGAGCTGTCGAAGGACACCAGGAAAAGAATTGTAGACCTGCACCAGACTGGGAAGAGTGAATCTACAATGGGCAAGTAGCTTGGTGTGAACAAATCAACTGTGGGAGCAATTATCAGAAAATGGAAGACATATAAGACCACTGATAATCTCCCTCGATCTGGGGCTCCACGTAAGATCTCATCCCGTTGGGTCAAAATGATCATGAGAACGGTGATAAAAATCCCAGAACCACCCAGGACCTGGTGAATGACCTGCAGAGAGCTGGGACCAAAGTAACAAAGGTTGCCATCAGTAACACACTACGACGACAGGGAATCAAATCCTGCAGTGCCAGACGTGTCCCCCTGCTGAAGCCAGTGCATGTCCAGGCCTTTCTGAAGTTTGCCAGAGAGCACATGGATGATACAGAAGAGGATTGGGAGAATGTCATGTGGTCAGATGAAACCAAAGTAGAACTGTTTGGTATAAACTCAACTCGTCGTGTTTGGAGGAAGAAGAATACTGAGTTGCATCCCAAGAACACCATACCTACTGTGAAGCATGGGGGTGGAAACGTCATGCTTTGGGGCTGTGTTTCTGCTGAGGGGACAGGACGACTGATCCGTGTTAAGAATGAATGGGGCCATGTATAGTGAGATTTTGAGCCAAAACCTCCTTCCATCAGTGAGAGCTTTGAAGATGAAACGTGGCTGGGTCTTCCAGCATGACAATGGGCCTCATTCACGAACCGTACTTAAGAGTCTCTGCACTGGTCTCTCCCATGGATCTATACGGGTCTGCGCTGGTCTCTCCCATGGATCTATACGGGTCTGCACTGGTCTCTCCCATGGATCTAGACTGGTCTGCACTGGTCTCTCCATACGGGTCCGTGCTGCATGCTCCTGGATCCATACGGGTCCGCGCTGGTCCCTCCAGTCCGGTCTATGCGGTCTCTCTTCGGTCCACGCTGGTCTCTGCGCACCGGTCTCTCCAGTCTATATGCGGTCTTTAATGTCCGCGCTGGTTTCTGTGTGCTGGTCACTCCAGTCTCTCCTCGGGTCTGCATTGGTCTCTCCTCCCAGGGTCCAAAATATTTTTATAGATTAATTTAAAAAAAATTGAGATTCATTTTTAAATTAATACATAATATATTTTTAAATTAAGCTCATAACATTTTGAGATTAATCTCATCATATTTTCAGATTAATCTAATAATTTTGCTAGTTCGACTTTATTCTCATAATATTTTGACTTTTAAATCAACATTTTATAACTTTAACCTTAGTCTGGCAAAAGATGAAAAACGGGTGACTCTTTTGCTCCGTGTAACTCTTTGCTGCATATTGCTGTTTCCTCTGACGTCTGCACACGACCTAGCAGTCCCTTATATGGACATTAATGGGCGGTTACCTATGCTAATGAAGCACCGGGCACGCGCGCTCTACTTACGAGGAGTTGGCATTCATCAATCTGAGAGAACAGCTGCAAACAATTCAGCGCCTTACGAGCACGTTGATGAATCCCATGTAGGCTCTTCTTAGAAATCTACGACTTGAGAAGAAATTTAAGAAGTTTCTTACGAAGTTATTCGTGAATGAGGCCCATTGATCCCAAACACAGGCAGCGGGCAACGAAGGAGTGGCTTCGTAAGAAGCATTTGAAAGTCCTGGAGTGGCCTAGCCGGTCTCCAGACCTCAACCCCATTGAAAATCTGTGGAGGGAGTTGAAAGTCTGTGTTGCTCGGCAACAGCCGCGAAACATCACTGCTCTCGAGAAGATCTGCATGGGTGTGTGCAAACCTGGTAAAGACCTATAGTAATCGTTTGACCTCTGTAATATAACCTTTGTTGGCAATAACAAAGTATTGAGTTGAATTTTTGTTATAGACCAAATACTTATTTTCCACCATAATTTACAAATAAATTCATTTAAAAATCCTACAATGTGAATTCCTGACTTTTTTTTTTTTCCACATTCTGTCTCTCACAGTTGAAAAGAGAGACAGAATGATGAAAATTACAGACCATTATTTTAAGTGGGAGAACTTTGGTGGCTGACTAAATACTTTTTTGCCCCACTCTATATAGTGCTATTTGCCCCGAGTCTTTTAAAAGTAGTCGTCGCATCCATGCTTCAGTATGGGCCGCTCTGCCTTCTTGCCACACAGCGAGGGGCGCATGCGTACGCGGGTGTAATCAAAGATCCTCCTATTCCATGTTTGTAAGAAGCGCCTCACCATTGGCTGCCTGTGCACCAGTGGTTTGTACACAGGCCTGTGATGAATGATGTGGTCAGCTCTGCCTTGCGGGGGGAGGGCCACCGATGCGTATGCATCTTTGGCATTGCTGAAGACCAGATCCAGTATTTTGTCTCCTGGTGTGAACAGTGAACAGTGTTCCTTATAAGGAGCAATGAGGAACATGTGAATGTATTATTACTAAAGTCAGTAAACTAGTGCTGTCAAATTATTAGATTTTTTACAACAAGGGTCAATACAGTGCTTTGCGAAAGTATTCGGCCCCCTTGAACCTTTCAACATTTCGCCACATATCAGTCTTCAAACATAAAGATATACAATTTTAATTTTTTGTCATGAATCAACAACAAGTGGGACACAATTGTGAAGTGGAACGAAATTTATTGGATCATTTAAACTTTTTTAACAAATAAACTGAAAAGTGGGGCGTGCAATATTATTCGGCCCCCTTGCGCTAATACTTTGTAGCGCCACCTTTTGCTGCAATTACAGCTGCAAGTCGCTTGGGGTATGTCTCTATCAGTTTTGCACATCAAGAGACTGGAATTCTTTCCCATTCTTCCTTGCAAAACAGCTCGAGCTCAGTGAGGTTGGATGGAGTGCGTTTGTGAACAGCAGTCTTCAGCTCTTTCCACAGATTCTCGATTGGATTCAGGTCTGGACTTTGACTTGGCCATTCTAACATCTGGATACGTCTATTTGTGAACCATTCCATTGTAGATTTGGCTTTATGTTTTGGATCATTGTCATGTTGGAAGATAAATCTCCGTCCCAGTCTCAGGTCTTTTGCAGACTCCAACAGGTTTTCTTCCAGAATGGTCCTGTATTTGGCTCCATCCATCTTCCCATCAATTTAATCCATCTTCCCTGTCCCTGCTGAAGAAAAGCAGGCCCAAACCATGATGCTGCCACCACCATGTTTGACGGTGGGGATGGTGTGTTCAGGGTGAGGAGCTGCGTTGCTTTTACGGCAAACATATCGTTTTGCATTGTGGCCAAAAAGTTCGATTTTGGTTTCATCTGACCAGAGCACCTTCTTCCACATGTTTGGTGTGTCTCCCAGGTGGCTTGTGGCAGACCCCTTAAAGCTAAGGACTCAAGGAACACGTGGCTATGTTTGTGGGGCTAAACAAAGCTCAAACTTGGTGAAATGTGAAAGAGAAGCTTGAATATTTTTCGGAGCGGTTTTTTTTTGCAACAGAAAAATGCACATTTTTGTATTATTTCTGAAGAATGGATTATACTTTGGGAAATACAAGTGGATATTCTTTTTCACTGAAAACTTACGGAGAGAAAGAGACTAAGCAAGGATGGGGAAAGTCTAATTTGTTGGAGCAGTAGAAGACAAAAGGTAAGACACTTATACAAACACGATTTATTTTGTGCCCATATTATGCGTTATATCTTTTTAATGCAAAGTCTGATATCGTTTACATATCTACATATATAGCTGAGAAAATAAGCTTTAAAATGATATATAGCTTGTGGCTTATGAAGTTCAAAATACATCTGCTATTGCCAGCAGAAGTATTTTTTTTCACCGGCGCTCCGTTTTTATGTTTTTAAATGTTTTGCTGGCAATAGCAGATGTATTTTGAACACCAAACCCCAAAAGCTGTATATCATTTTAAAGCTTATTTTCTTATCTACATTTATATACAAGTGTAAACTACATCAGACTTTGCATTCAAAAGAAGATATAACACATAATGTGGGCACAAAAGAAATCAATTCGGGCGTTCTGCTCTCCCAAAATTCCATCCGATGGGCGGGGGAGCGACTGAATTTTGCGTTGCATTATGGGTAACACTTGCCTTCGCAACTTCCGGTTCTCTCTGCCCGGCGCATTTTCTCTAAATGGTTGAGTGTTTTCGTCATTTTACATTATGCAAATACATTCCCGTCTCTAACTAGTGGCATATCGCGCAAATCATCCGTCCAATTCACATTCTTCCCTCTTAGCTGAACTTCATTCTCATTGTTACCATCTGTCACTCGCACACACAGCCGTTTTCGTTCACTCTGCTCGCTGTCATCTTCTTCTAAATCTTCATAAACACCATCCGCTCGTTGAACTAGCAACAACAATTCCTCCTTTCGTTTTCCCACACTGCAGATACCCTTTCGCTTCAACCTTTCACGCAATTCA